ATAAATAATTAATTTAATAAAACCCATTAATTAAATCAAATAAGCAAGCAACGAATCACTTAAAACACATAAAATAAATAAAACAATTAATTAAAATAAACAAACAAATAAAGAATTACACCCTTAATTAAAATAAACAAACAATTTAAAAAAATAACACAATGAATTAAAATAAACAAACAATTGGACACATAAGCATATAGATACAAAATCAATTTAAAATGCACAAAAATAAAATTTAAATTCCATTTTTATCCCTTTTGAAATTAGGGGTATTACAAGACGACTCCCAACTGTTGAGATTTTACCTATTGTACAGCTGTAGGATTAAATTATTTTCTCATTGATTTAGGGCTAATTGGTAGGCAATTAGTTTCCCGATTATTGTATATTTAGTTATCTATTTTAGCTAGATATTACTCTATAAATTGAATGTAATACCATCATGAATAATATCAAATAAGAATTTTGAAGTCTTATATTCGTTCTTTGAATTTCAAGATAGTATCAGAGCCATCCGTATTTTTTTGATTTCTTGGAGATTGTTTCAACCCATATAATGATTTCTTTAACCTGCAGACCTTCCGACTATACTTTTCGGGTATCATACATCCTAGTGGGAGATCCATGTAGACTTCTTCAAATAATTCACCATGCAGAAAGGCATTCTTCACATCGAATTGTTGCAATGGCCAATCCAAGTTCGCAGCTAAAGACAACAAGACCCGAACTGTGTTGATTTTGGCTACAAGTCATATGACATTTGATTCTAGACAGGTCTCACCTCTTAATTCATCCTCACACAAATTTGTTTCCACTGCTAATGGACTTCGATCCTAGTTATTGGGGAAGGATCTTTGCAATTCACTAATAATTTGCATTTAGATTATGTTTTAGTTGTTCCATATTTAGAGTCTAATCTTTTGTCAGTTTTCCAAATAACCACAGCTTTATCTTGTGTTGTCATTTTTTGGCCTGATTTTTGTGTGTTTAAGGATATCCAAACAAAGCAGACGATTGGTTGTGGTATTAGGCGAGGGAAACTGTATTACTTGGACTTGATGTCCAAAGTTCCGACAAGCATTGACCGTGGATGGTTCTGAGGGGGAGAGAAAAAAATCTGAAATCTGGCTGTGGCATCGACGTCTGAGGCATGCTTCCTTTGGTTATTTGAAAAAATTATTTCCTAGTTTGTTTGCCAAATTTGATGTTTCGAGTTTCTGCTGTGATGTTTGTGAACTAGCAAAGAACCACCGTGTGTCGTATCCATTATGTTTGCATAAAAGTCCACTCCCTTTTATGATTATACATTCTGATGTTTGGGGTCCGTCCAAAGTCACTACTTTAGGTGGATCTCGTTGGTTTGTTACTTTTATTGATGACTGTACCAAGATGACCTGGTTGTGCTTAATGAAGTCCAAAGGTGAAGTGAACTTATTGTTTCAGAAGTTTCATAAAATGGTTGCAACTCAATACAATGCACATGTTCAGGTTCTTCGTAGTGACAATGGTAGAGAATATCAGAGTTTTGACCTTCAGCAGTATTTGGAAGCACATGGAACTATTCATCAAACCACTTGTTCTAATACACCCCAGCAGAACGGGGTTGCAGAGCAAAAAAATCGCCACTTATTGGAGGTTGTTCGTGCTTCATTGATCGAAGCGCATATGCCATTATCAAATTGGGGAGAAGCAATTACCTCTGCAGCATATCTAATCAATCAAGTACCTTCCAGCTTTATTGACTTTCGGACACCATTGCAGGCTCTTATTGAAGCAGTTGTTGCCCCAACCGTCCCAAATCTACCTTCTTATGTCTTTGGTTGTGTAGCATTTGTACACCTTCATAAGCATCAACGCAGCAAGCTAACACCTCGAGCATTGCGATGTGTTTTTCTCGGATATGCTACTCATCAAAAGGGGTATCGCTGTTATCACCTTCCAACTCGACGAATGTTTATCACAATGGATGTTGTCTTCCATGAAGACTCGATATATTTTTCCTCTGCGTTTGAACTTCAGGGGGAGTACCAGAACGAAATTCAGACTCTAGATTATGATTATCACATTTTTTAGGATGGTGATTCTAGTGTTGATGACTCACAAGTTGGACCAACCAATCAGGAATTGGGCGAATTGGATTCAAGTGGTATAAGTTTGGATCAAAGTAGTGATGAACGCCCAGAAATGGGAAGTATGGCGCCAACCCCAATGGGAAGTATGGCGCCAACCCCAATGGAAAGTATAGCGCCAAACCCATCGTTGTCCGAGTTTGAGTCCCTCGCAACTGACATATCAAACCAATCGTCTGCTGAGGATGTTCCTAATTTAGTGCCTGAGCCACTCAGAAAACAATTACCACCGCGTCACACTAGATGTATTCCTAAACCCACATATGAACCCGAACTTTCTAGTAAAGTTAAGTATCCTATGAACAATTATGTGTCGAACCATCATTTGTCAGAATCAAATTTGTCATTTGTAAATCAATTATCTGCTATATCTATTCCTAACAGTGTGCAGGAAGCCTTAGTTGACCCTAGGTGGAAAGCAGCTATGAACGAGGACATAAAATCCTTACAGAAAAATGAAACTTGGGAACTCATTGATCCTCCACTAGGAAAGAAACCAGTTGGATGTCGATGAATTTACACTGTGAAGTATAAAGCCGATGGCACAGTTGAACGCTTTAAAGCAAGATTAGTGGCGAAAGGTTACACCCAAACCTATGGAATCGATTACACAAAGACGTTCGCACCTGTAGCCAAAATCAACACAGTTCGGGTCTTGTTGTCTTTAGCTGCAAACTTGGATTGGCCATTGCAACAATTCGATGTGAAGAATGCCTTTCTGCATGGTGAATTATCTGAAGAAGTCTACATGGATCTCCTACCAGGATGTATGATACCCGAAAAGTATAGTCGGAAGGTCTGCAGGTTAAAGAAACCATTATATGGGTTGAAACAATCTCCAAGAGTATGTTTTTGAAGATTCACAAAGTCTATGATATCCTTTGGCTACTGTCAAAGCAATTCAGACCACACATTATTTCTGAAGAAACAACATGGTAAAATCACTGCACTCATTGTATATGTAGATGACATGGTGGTTACAGGAAATGATCCTGAAGAAATGAAGGCTCTCAAGAAGTACTTGTCTAGAGAATTCGAAATGAAAGATCTAGGTTCTTTGAGATATTTTCTTGGGATTGAAGTATCTCGATCGAATAAAGGAATCTTTCTATCTCAAAGGAAATATGCCTTAGATCTATTACAAGAGACTGGCATGACAGCATGTCAACCGGCTGAGACACCAGTGGAAGAAGGACTGAAGTTATGTGTTGAGTCCAATCAAGTACCTACTAATAAAGGAAAATACCAAAGACTTGTAGGGAGATTAATGTACTTAGCACACACGAGACCAGATTTGGCTTATGCATTGAGCATTGTTAGCCAGTTTATGCATGATCCTGGAGAGCAACATATGAATGCAGTTATACGCATTCTGAGGTATTTGAAATCTGTTCCTGAAAAAGGAATTTTGTTCACTAAAAATGCTGGTTGTCAAAACATAGATGCATATACTGATTCTGACTGGGCTGGAGCTATAGATGATATGCGATCTACTTCTGGTTACTTCACTTTTGTGGGAGGTAATTTTGTTACATGGAGAAGCAAGAAACAACATGTTATTGCTCGCTCGAGTGCAGAAGCTGAATTCAGAGGTATGACACTTGGACTTTGTGAAACGTTGTGGTTAAGACTTCTTTTGCGGGATTTGGATTATCTACCTGGGCAACCGATTCGATTATATTGTGACAATAAAGCAGCATGTGATATTGCCCATAATCCAGTTCAACATGATCGTACAAAGCATGTCGAAATAGACAGATTCTTCATTAAGGAGAAATTGGATGGAAAAATTGTGGAGTTGCCTAAAATTCGATCTGAGGATCAACTAGCCGACATTCTCACCAAAGCAGTCTCAAATCAAGTGCTTTCAAAATTTTTAGACAAGTTGGGCATGTGTGACATCTATGCACCAACTTGAGGGGAAGTGTTAAGATTTTACCTATTATACAGTTGTATGATTGAATTATTTTCTCATTGATTTAGGGCTAATTGGTAGGTAATTAGTTTCCCGATTATTATATATTTAGTTATGTATTTTAGCTAGATATTACTTTATAAATTGAATGTAATACCATCATGAATAATATCGAATAAGAATTTTGAAGTCTTATATTCGTTCTCTGAATTTCAAGACCAACAGCCAAAGCTCCGCTCGGTTTATTTGTATTATGTGGAAGCATAATTGTTGAACTCATGTTAGAACTTTCACAAGTTTAAAGTAATTTTAAAACATTGATAGAATTTTTGTGCGGCTTAATCTAACACATTCTAACAAAGACTTTTTATCATTTTTAAGTTTAGCTGTTCTTATTTTAAAATATGTCACTTGAGTCAATAGCAGCCGATCAACATTTATATATTATTCTATTTAATGTTGTATCTTTATTTGCAACCTCTTTTGTAATTTATTGCAAGTTTGCAACAAGTGTAGTTTGAAATAAATCTTTAAAAAATAATATATATATATATATATATATTTTTTTTTTAAAAAGAAAAGCTTAAGTGCAGTGCGGAAAACAGTGCATAAGAATTATACAAATAGAAATGTGTTTTCAGCATGTAACACTTTAATTAAAATAACAGAGGATGTAACTTATCATTGATGGGCGGGCAAGACTTAGTTGTTGAATTTGTGAAGGTGCAGAAAATATAAGCTAATCGTCCAACATAAAATACAAAGAGAGTATGTTACCCACTTTTGCCGGTTGCAGCGTACGGAGATTCTACGTTGTAATGATGTTGATTGCTGGGCTGGCCTGCTGGGCAGGATTACTTTGCGAGCCAATTTTAGGCTTTTCGATTGTGGGCTTGAATTTTGGGCTTTTCGATTGTGGGCCTGAACAGAACAAACCAATAGCATTAATCGAAGAACTGTTTTCCGGACTTCCAGAATCCAACCGTTTACTGTCGCCGCCGATTCCCTATCTAACCCACCGTCGAGCTTCCTTCAGCCGGCCACCACCATTCCCTCCCACCCTGAGTCTCAGACTTCAACCGTCCGGCAGCACGGTTGACCCTCATCCATCCACCATCGACCTCGATCCTCTGTCGGTTTACCGCTCCTCTCTTCACCATTTTTCCAGTTTCGGTAAGATTCAGGATTCTTGTTATGGAGTTTAATTTTTACAATTTGTTTGATTGTTGTGAATAATTTTTAATCTTTATATATCATGGAGCTGGATTATTGGGATTCAAGATTGTTATTATGGAGTTCAAGATTGCTGTGAAAATAATTTCTTGAATATATGTGGATTATATATGTAATTTCATTTGTTTGAGTGGATACGTGTATCATACCAACAAGAATGTTCGAAGCTTCGTTTATTTTCGGGAGAATCATATTGTTTTTTGTGAGTTCCAATTTCTAATTTCGTACAACTTCTTACCTGTTTCAAGTGAAATATTATTGTAATTGATTTCTCTTATTGATTTTTGATGTGGGTTTTGCCCAATGTTCTTTTGAAATCTTAATAAACCGTGTTAACAAATTCAGTACTATATACTGTCGCACTGCTTTCAAATAAGGATCAGTCCAGGAAGCATGTCATTAAGTTGAATGGTTGAGGTTTTGTTGTTCCTGATCAGCATGTCTACGAAAGTAGATTTTCAAGAGTCAGATTGGACAATAAAAAAAAGGTTCTTTTGAAGCTTTGTATAACTGTATAAGTACGAAACAACATGTTGCTGGACACTTCTCCAAGTTCTTAATTAGAGTTAAGTTTAAAGTCGAACTCCTGTGAGTAGTAGCCTCTAGTCCTTGCCTGCATTGCACTGAAAAAATTCCAATTAAAGGTCAACCATTCAAATCAACCATTCAAATAAGGAATTGAATCGTTTGGAAGGTAGCCTGGCTTGAACTGAGGAGAATGCACAATTCTTGGTTATGTAAGATTGTTCTCGAACTCGTTCGAGAACTACAGTCTTTGTCTCTTGAACTGCTTTTGAGCTTGCTCGCTTTAAATTTCTTTTCAATGGCATTCGAGCCTGCTTTTAGGTACCACCTTGAGTATCACTCTATCACATACCGCTTCCACGAATATCGTATTTAAAGAATCGTTCTTTCTTTCCTATAGCCAGTCACAGGATGAATGAGAACTGTGCACAGTAGTCCTCTTGTGAGAGGTTTCTCAGTTAAAAGCTCTGTATTCTTCCTTGTTTGTATACTTGTAAGAAACTCTATAACAGCAGGATGGTATACTTGTATGTACTTTAGAGGACATCCCTTTTTTAGTTCTTGATGGGAGCTGGAGGGTGATGTTTATTTCTCTAGGAAATGGTGCTCTCTTCCTCATTAAATTTGCTACCATCATGGTATTCTTATTGGCTAGAATGCACACTTTACCTTTGCTATTATACTTTCTCTAATTCATTTATCATATTATGATTTGTTGAGGGTGGAGTTTGCAGTGGCTTTAATCTCGTAACAGTTTCACGATTTGTTTTATGTGTAGTCGTCAGTTCTTCATGTATCCTTGGAAAAACAATTGTAAAGCTTTTCAGAAAATAATTACTGTTTCTTTTATTTATATTTATTTCTAACTGAGTTTCAAAGTAATTTTCCAAAAACTAATGTCTTCACATGAAAAACATTTAATTATAATTATTATTCTTAGGAGATTGTGTTAAGACTTGCAAGTTCTAAAATTTGCTGCATCAAAGAGAGATGTGAGGAAGCTGGGAATGTTGTTTCTGTCTTTTTTAAGAGCTTTCTTTCTTTTTTCCTTTTCTGTTATGTTACTTTCAGATGCGTGTAACATATATATTATATGTAAGGTTTCTTTTGAAGAACCAGACTTTTTAAGATGAACGTATTGCTTTAACTCACAATTTTATGATATATAATAACGTTATGCAAGTAGGACATCTATTCAGAATTGTGGCTGTTTTTTTGGTTAGCCAGTTGCTGGTTTGTTTTTTTCCTCTTGTTTGGGGGTTGCCCCTTTGTTTGCTCTCTGTTTTCTTTGAATAAAATTATTACGTATCCAAATATATATATATATATATATATATTTGCGAACCAGAGTTTTTAAGATGAACATGTTGCTTTACTCAAATTTTACACTGGTTTTGGAAAGCTAATGTCCTAAGATACTTGGGGCTGAACATGTTTATTGGGATTATTATACATCTGAATCTCACAACTAGTGTCTAGTATCTACAGTACAAGATTTTCATTTTATCAGTGTTGGGCTGTGATTGATATCCTGAATTGATTCCTTAATTTTTCTTTGAATAGGCATGTAAGTGTTACAAGATTTTCATTTTATTGTACTCTTCTATATATAGATGTGTGTGTATAATGTATATATATGCCCCCCGATAATTGTATTGAATTGGAACACTTTGTAATTTGGATGATCGTGTTGAGTTGCTGAGTATTTGATAGTTTTGTTGAATATATGATGCCATAATTGGATGTATAGTGTTTCTTTTGTAATCTGTAGAAGCTAGTGGTATGAAATAATTGTATATAGTAATCATAAATTATTTAATTGTCATATGTATTAAATTATTAATTAACAAAATAAGAGATCAGGCATGTCATTTAGATTTTTTTTTTAAATGTAGTTTAGAGAAATATATTAAATAAGAATGACGTTAGCCTAAGTATCTCAGAATTTGTGTTTTTTACTAAATGAAATTGGGCCATCAGGTTGGGTGTGGGTCGATTCATTTGTTTAATATTCGACCAGTTCAGATTGTTTGTGGGTTATGACCTACCCATTTTATGACACGATAATGACTCATTCAAACCCGCCTGTTTGCCACCCCTGGGTCTGTACACTTGAAATAGGACATTCCTTGTCTTGTTTGTTCTCATGAATTTGTTTAATATTGCTTACCTTCTTTATTGGGCTTGATTTCACCATCTTTACAGGATTCGTTTGTGCATCCTATTACAAGGGAATACTGACCAATTCATGTTGCAATGACAACTGACACAACTCCTCAAGATCAAAAGAAACGCACCTCGGACGCATTGGAGCGAAGATTTGCCCTTGCGGAAGCTGAGCTTCGTCTACAGCAACAGAAGAAGAATAAAAAGACATATCATGAAGAAAACAACAGAGTTACTCAAAGCACGGTTTCTTCTTCAGCATGTCTAACTGCTCCGTCAATCACACAATCTTCAAATTTCTCGTCTAAGAAAGGTTCTTATTCAACTTTTCTACACTGTAGTTTATTTTTTTAGTTATGATTAAACAAGGTTTTGTTGATCTATGTTTTAGATTATGAACCTGTATGCTAATCTCTGGGTTGCAACATCTGAAACAACCTTATGTGTGTGACGTGTGTCTATATATGGATTATACATAATAATATAGTTTAATTTTTGAGATGGATAAGAATGATGTAAAAGATCTTCTTTTATGCTTCGTTTGGTTGGAGGGATGGAAAAATGGATGGAAGAGAGAGGGGGTAGGGAAGGGAAGATGTCTCCCCCATTTTTTGTTCGGTTGAATGGAATGGATAGTAGAAAGAATGAATGGGGTGATACTGTTTTTTATGGTTGGTTGGAAGGGAAAGAGAGTTTTTATATTCTTTTTACTAATGCACCACATTATATAAAATTATAAAAGGTACCATTTCAAATTTTTTGGAAAGGTTAAAATTGGAAATTATATATTTTTTGGTAGTTATCCCTTCTTTCTCTCCTCTCTTCCCCCCCAAAATTGGGCGGATTGGAAAAAATAAAGGAAGTAGGGCTTCCTCCCTCTCATCCCTTCCTTCCAACCAAACATAGCATTAAAGAAATATTCATAAGAGAGGAGTGACTGTCATATGAATTCGTGAGGTTTAATTTAGAATTTGATATTTCATTACCAAAAAAGAAGAAGATTGAACTGTGTGACAGAGGCTTAGAGCTTGACGTGGAACCGGGCTCGCATTGCTAACTCAAAGAGGAGAATTACGGATAGACCTTGCTAGGACTACATTTGAATTTCATTAACCATCTACTCTTCTAAACCAACAGATCTTTAATTATTCATAACATATAGTAGATAAGTAAAAGGTTAATATTCCCTGGAAATCTAAGAATTATTCTTTAGTTTTTATCCAGTGATGACTTGATCCTAACATTTAATTTTTACAACGCATACACTTGACTTCTTGTCCTAACAACTTCTAAGGAAAGAAATAAGAACTAGAGAACTGTAACGTAATGGTGGATCTAAATGGTGATTGTTCAGAATGATTATTGAAGGCTTGTTTTTTTTTAACTACAACCATGCTCTTGGTTCTTGTGCTTTGGGGTGGTGCTACAGGTTTGAACCTTTGTTATTTTGCTATAGAAGGCACACCAAAGGCAATATTGTTTGTTGCTTATATTCATCCATCTTTCTCTCAGGACCACTTGGAGAACTCCTGATGGGGCTATCTTCTTAAAACGCACTATATTTTTGGTTCTTGTGTTTCTCAGAGATGCTGTGGGTTTAAATATTTGTAACCCTTCTTCTGAAGGTACATAAAAGGGCACATAGTTGCTTACATTCATCATTCCTTCTTCCATGACCATGTACAATCGGTTGTTGTTACTTATTGAGGATCCTCTTCAATGCTACTCATTTAGTTGAAGATTTTTATGTGTGGGGAAGTGAATCTTGTAGTTCAATATTAAGTTTAAATTTTTAAAATTTCTATCCTCATCAGAATCCTGCTTTCTTTGCTCCAATTCAAATGGAATCATGCACATGAATTCTCTTATATATATTCCTTTTTCTCGAGGTCTTTTTTTATTACTTAATTCTATTTTAGTTCGGGTCTGCTTCTTTGCCTCTTAATTCTATATAAATATTATTATTTTTTCAATTGGTGCATTTTCTGGGTTGACACTGTATATGTTCATATCTCCCATGTTTATTTTCTTTTATCATCAATAGGTACAGTGATTATTAATCATTTCTTCTAGTTACTCCTATCACCCATCTTAACATTCTCATTTCGGCGACATGAATGTATTGTCGTTATTTCTTTTTTAATGCCCGGAAGTATCATCTATCTCCCTTTTTACTTTTCATATTCTATACAGTACCTAGAAATATACTATTCTCTTTTTCTGTTCTCCTAATTTCACCATTCTGGATTATTTGTAGGGAATGTAGTGTTCTCAGGCCAGGCTAAGACACAAGGTACAATTTAGTTTCGCTTCACATGCTCGTGTTAATAAATACATTCATATATTTACATATGTTTGTTCATTTCAATTGTAATATATAGACAAGGAAGCAAATGATCCAACATATTTTCAACTCTCTCATCCCGTACATGAGAATCTGCTAACAACTAATAAGGTAATTTTTGGTTGTTGTAACTTGTATTTGACTCTTGATACTGCTTTTACCAATGAGTTTAGAACCGGATAACTTATAAATAAGTAGCCCCATTTTTAACATCTCCTTGGAATCATGCAGATGCCTGATAGAAGAGGAACCGTTGTCAATCAGATTTTGCACGAGCTTCTCAAAAATGGTGATTCAGCTCAGAAATACACGCAGGGATCTAGAAGCATGAAAATTGATAATTGGATCCTTCTTGATAATTTCGTACAAAGTCATGGTGCAGCTTTTAGTGCTCGTCTTAGGGCTTTACAGAGCCATTCAAAGCGCTCAAAAAAACACATGTCAATGAAGCAACATAAAAAATGTGGATCATTTGATATGCCTCGCGAGATCCATAAGTAAGGTTTATGCTTTACTGCATATAGTAACAACTTGCGCACTTTTTTTCCCCTTTGGTCTAATTGCTATATCATGCTGTAAATAGTGTTATCATTTTCATTTCTATGTCAAGGTTTCATATCTCTGCTTTAAAAATGATTTAAGCTCTTCTTTTCCTTCCCGAAACTGACACAGCAGGTTTTGAAAATCCATCATCATGTATTACTTGATTTTATGAATTATGAATCGGTACCTCTTTTTGACATGCTTCCGAAAATCATATATTGTTCCTTCATTGTTTAGTCTTGTGTATCTTTCATATTTGAAAGTTAATTGTGTACGTACTACATAGTATGCCTCATTGATTAGTAATACTCAGGTGTTGGGACAAACCATGAAGGGCTTGAACTCAAATCTTTTACATAGTCCACACAAATTATACATCCGACAGAGCATTGAAATCCAGTATGAGGTTGTTTAGTTTGAATCTTTCTTTAGAGTTTTGGCCAGAACTGGTGATTGGACAGTAGTGAAAACATGGACTGGAGTACTTGTTGAATTGGTTAGCCATGGTGTAGTCCTTCATGCAAAGACATGTCAAACATTGTATCAATGTTTTAATACCTAGACCAGATTTGGTTGGTCAACTTGGCTGTCTTGACTTGGCTCATATGTGAATGGGGTATAAATTTCAACATAATTAATTTGGGATATGTCTGTCATTTAAAGGCATGGTGGTCACTCACATCCTTTTTGAGAGACTGGATGTATTTGAGTGAGGTTTAAGGTTAAAAACCCGAGGATGTGGTGCACTGACTAGTTCCTGGTTCCCTACACTCTTCGATATATCTATTTCAGTTGATTCTTGATCAGCCTCATGCTTGTCCATTCATGCTGAATTTGGCGTGTAGTTTATCTTTCCCTGTTGGATTTGCATGTCATTTGTCTTAGTTTGTGCCTTTTAATACAATTGACAATTTTCGGGAATGACAATGAATTTTTTCACGAATTCTATAACAATGAAAGATGTAGAATGCTATAATCAATGAATGTTTCAATTTTGACATTTCAAGTGATATACTTTGTAGAAAATTTGTATTCTTTCACACTTTATTTTTAGTCCTTTTTTTATTCTACTCTTTCAACACTTATGTGAAAATCATTGACATGATTGTTATTACAGCTTTGATATTTTCAAGCCAATGAATGAAATGTGGAAAGGCTACATGACCCAACTTCTTAAAAATGTCGGGTGAGAATTGTTTTCCCTGGCTTTGGTTATGTTGCAGTTTCTTATGTCTTGTCACATATCATCACTTGATATGCTTCTCATCCTGTAAGTATACTTAATCTTGCAGGAAAAATCAGTTGGCGCAATGTCTTCTCACTGCTGACTTACATGGTGCAATTATTATAGGTTAAATTATGTGCCACTCTTTTATGCAGCAATAGTTTTCACTGAGATTGTTCATATACCCATGGAAAATTCAAAGCAGTATTTGTGCTTTATCATGTTTGCCCAACCTTTCTATAAAGCTTAAGCTTTTCTAAATGATACTGTGATGGGCATGTCTCGGCAGCCTACTTGCATGAATATCATCAGGCACTCATGGGAACCCATGTAGGTTCCTCCTATTTTTTGTTGCTGTACCTGGAAGTAGGATTGTGGACGGGGTTATAATATCTGTTGTCATTACTCTTATTTTTTATTTCTTACCGAAGGACAGATAACAGAGAGAACAGTAGAAATCAAATTCTGGTTATGAAGGTTATTGAGGTTTACTTATGTAGGTTTCCTGTGGGCGACCACTGAGGACTTGTTTGATGACCACAATTTTGAATAAATAAAAATAGAGAATGCTAGTATTTTTAGGCTTCTAAGAAGAAACCTTGTTTATCCTTGAATTTTCTACATCATTTCCCAGTTTACTTTGAGATTCTTTTAAATAAATGGCTTAGATAACTTGTTGGTTTTCATTTATACTATTGGACATTGAAACTTGAATTGAACCATCTAAATAGATATTTCATAGACTCAATCTGTGTAGAATCACCAAATCGGCCAAATATGAAAAAAGTCAACTCACTTTTCAGCATAACTCACAAAGTCTTGCATGTTTGCTTATTCGAATATATGTTGGTTAACTTTTGTTGTTTTGTTAATTATCTGCAGTTGCCCAGTGTAAAATATCTGCATTTACCGGCATTAGTGGTATCATGATTCGTGAAACTGCAGAAACATTTGGAATAATCACGAAAGATAATAAATTCCGAGGTACTCCATTCACCAGTATATTATTATTATTTTGTGCTCTGCATTTTTTTTTTTTTTCCTTCTGGTTTGCATTTTCTTTGCTTGGTTGCACTCTTCATTTTAGGAGTTCGGTCTTTGCAGCAGAGTTGGCCTGTTGTTTGAACTTGTGTCATTCTTTTTCTTTTTTCTTTTTAATATGACGGTGAATTCTTTAAGATATACTTTTGAGTTCAATCCATTTTTGTAGTTTACAGTATATAATGTTTCGGCATTGCCCGCCCTTAATCAAAATATCCATATTTATGCTTTGAATTATTAATGCAATGCTTAGGATTTTGTAAATGAATAATAGCTCTGCTTTTTATCTTCTTATTCTGCTGATCCTCTTTTAAGTCATTTACCCGATCTTATGTCTGCTTCAATACCAAATATGCAGTTGTGCCCAAAAAGCTCTCCGTATTCATATTCCAAGCTGATTGCTGGAAAATTACGTTGCACGGAGACAAACTCACTTCGAGAAATTTGGGGCCCTGATCCGATGCCGAAATTGCATCTTTGGTTGCTTGCTATCTCTCTACCTTGGGGTATTCTTATGAGGTTCTCCTACATGTGAATCATTTGCTTCTTTTTAAAATGTCCAGTAACATCATTTATTAGTATGGCATGTAATATGTTGTTGATAGACATGATTTTTCAAACATCATTTTCATTCAATAATGGCGGTTGTAGTAGGAGAAATATATGAAGGGCATTGAAGGAAATGAGAGAAAATGTGGTGCTGGTCATTTTTCAGAAGTATGGTGGAATATTCATATTGGTAATGGTAGCCTGCAGGTAGCTAAAATGTGATGACCTTCAAATGCGGCTTTTAATTTTTTCTTTGGTATCATATCCTTTTACCTTAACGAATGAAAAGAGTCCCTATTTTCCATGATGATAATATGAAAGGACAATTTATCATAATCGAAACTGATACAATTTGTTGAATGAGAAGCGGTTGTCCAATTCGCTTGTGACGTGGATAAATCTACTCAAAATTAGGTCAATTCTTGTGTCATAATTGCTCGAAAAACAAATTTAAAATGTGAAGGAATGGAAATATCATTAAGTTGAAAAAGAAAATTCATAACAAATCTTATGACATCATTTATTACTTTTTTGAAAGGTGTTTTTTAAGATAGAAATTAATTCAATGGTATTATTTTTTAATCCTTCTAGAGAGAGAGAAGACAGGTGTGAACAAAAAGAGATTGTAAAAATTGTGTGTTTTTTTTTGTCAAAATAAATAAATAAATAAAAACTGACTAAACGTTCAAAAGTTATACTATGTATTTTTATTTTTTATTTTGCCTAGTAAAAAAAAAAATCATTTTCCTATCACAACAATCTCAATCAAAGACCCATAAAAATTACACGGTGATAAATGTCACCTCACCTGTAATATGTCATGCTCTAGATTGGAATCATAAAGAGATTCTGATATTCTGCTTTTGGAAAGAGATTGCGATTCATTTTTATGCACATTTAACCATTTATATCGAATCAGAAGTAATGAAAAGAAACACCATTTATACCGGATGTAAAATGGGATTTTATTATTTTTGTGAATCAAATATTATAAAATATTATGGATGTAATGTGTTGCATTTTTAATATAGACTATAGTGGTTGTGTATGTTATGTTTTTTATAAAGTATTTTCAAAATTTAAATATATTTTTATTTTTTTTTATTGACAAAAAAACACTAATTTAAATCACAGGTTCATGTTTAGATGCATGTACTTAAAGGAGAGGAGAGATGCGAGGTTTGTTAATATTTGATTTATTTATAAATAATATTATGCAAATTGAGTTTTTAAACTATTTTTATAAATAAATTGGCAAAGGAACTTACAATAATAAATGGTGACTATGGATGGAAAAAATATAATAATGATAAGTACATTAACCTCGAAGGACATTTAATTAAACTCCATGGAGTCTCTTGAATTTAATTTAGGATATAGATTAAATTAAAGTAGTCAGTCACATAAAGACATTGGTCCCTTCAACTGTTTACGCTAGAGCCAAGGCACTCAAAACGATATGAAAAGCCAATTCGAAATGGTACGCTACCGTCGAGACAACAGTCCAGTGACAGTCGTCTGACTTTCAGGAATCTTTGTCAACCTGCCTAATCACATGAGTTCGGATGCATTTCGCATTGGCTCCATCTTATCCAAATCCAAACTTTTCAAATTATGGCGCCCTTTTCAAATTAATTTGATGCTTATGCAACTTCGGTGTGTTCGATCCAAGTCGTCTCATGTAATACACCAACCAAGTCGTCTGATGTAATACACCATTTGTTTTATATTCGATTAGGTCTCAACACAATGCATTCTTATTTCTATATATTATTTATTACTAACTCTGTTTCATACTCCCTTTGTTTTACATTAGAGGTCTACATATAAAAATTGGAGTTTTTAAGGGGACATGCATTGTCTCCTTTTAAAATTACCAACTTATCCTTTCTAATTTAAATATATATAGTTACAAAATTTGAAATTTTTTAAAAAGATAAAGAGACAATAATCAAAATATATAACTTATTTGTTTTGACTTTTTAAAGAGGACGATTAATTTGGAACATGTGAAAAAAGAATAATGAACTATTAATATGGGACAGAGGGAGTATTAGATTTTCATTTTATAAATTTTGACTTGACTAATATGATTAAAAAAAAAAAAAAAGATGACAATGAGTCAAAAATTTTTACATAAACAACTAATACGAGACAAATGGAGTATTAAAGTAAAATTATAAATTCTAGGGTTAAATGCAAAAAAAAAAACCTTGAACTATTAGGGTATTGCAAGAAACTCTCTTGAATTACAAAAAACCTCTGAACTATTATTTTGTTACAGTTTACCCTAATAGCAAAGATTCCGGCATCAAAAAAAAGCAAAAGACCATGTTACCCTTACAAAAGAATGAGAGTCTTAAACTTTATAAATTTAAAGCTTGCTGACATAGAATGTGAAATCTCAATAACCAATTAAATAGGGACAACACACCATTCAGCTTGGTGACCCGGATGTGTATCTCATATTATTGCATTTTAGAGAGAGAAAGAAGAGCCATATATGGTACAGGGTAACAGGGGAGGAAGATGAAGAAGAATTGAAGGGTCTTCATAAGAGAGAAATAGGAACAGAGGTTGAAGGAATTCAAAGTTGATTTTTTTCGCACTGGATGGATAAACCCTGTCTTCTTAGATGCTTGAACCCATGACATGAAGTTGTAGAGCTCTTCTTTTTTTTTTTTTCAAATAAGTTGTAGAGATGTAAGTCATCCACAAGAAATGGCGAAGAATTACACGGAAAGTGAAAGATATATGTGGCAACTTTGCTCTCTGGTTGGGAAGTGACTATCCTTTCCTTCTATATTACTTACTATCATATATATGTGTGTGTGTGCGCCTTCTATATTACTTACTATCATATATATAAGTGCGCGCGCGCGCCTATATATAGAAATAAGGGTCAAGGGTGTGTTTTGGTGGAAAGTAGGTTAAAGAGGTGGGGGTGGAATGGTCACAATAAGGACAATGGAGTCTTTTTATGTTTATAAAGGACAATATGGTTATAAATTTAGATATTTTGCGTTACATGATCATTTTGTTGGTGAGATTCAATTGGAGCGTCGTTGGAAGGGGTTATTTGTAACAAAAATGTATAATTTAGGGAGTTTCCTGTAATATTTGTAGTTCATGAGATTTCTTGCTAATTAGCCAATAGCTTAAGGATTTTTTTTTTTTTTTTTTTTTTTTTTTTTTTTTTTTTTTAACCCTAAATTCTATGTTTAAGAGAAACAAATAAACAGTATTGATTTTGGAATTGAAAAAAAAATAATACTAAAGTTTTAAATTAATTTTTATCTTTAATTTTAATTTCAATTCCAAAAACACTATTCAGTGTTTCCGAACGTAACAAAAAAGTAATTGGATCGGTCATTTTAATGTAGTGAATTCGTTGAGAATTGTTGTCAGAATTTTTATCTCACATTTGATAAGAATGGAATGGAACTTGAATTTATATTTACATAGATAGTCGTAATACTTAAATGTTAAAAATTTAAGTTTGATATGAAGTGTACCAGACTTGTTAGAAGTGGTTTCAAATGAATCAAATCAATTTATCTATGACGGAATATAAATTCCCTAAATTTTATTTTTTTCTTTCCCATTTTCAGTTATCTTATCTTCTCAGTTTAACAAATTTAACAGTCTGTTACTTTGATTGTCCAGAGAAGTAATTCTCAATAAACCTAAATTAAAATAAAATACTTTATCCTATTTGGCTTCCAAGAAAGTTTAAGAGACAAAACTGTACTACTAACGTTAAAATTCACATTGGGAATGAAACCTTTTCTAAACAGTAGATTTGACGTTTAGCAACATCGTTTTAAAATTTCAAATTACTAGCAACTACAACGTCATCGGAGCGTGCTGAAGCGCGTGGAGTCGGAACGTGGTCATTGTACCTCAAGTAAGCATAGAGTGTATATATATATATATATATATATATTACTCGTATATGCGTGCGTGTATATACTGTAATAGATATACATATATCTACTCTTCACAATACTCTCTCTCAAACTATGCGCTAACAAACACTAATATATACAAAAAGAGTGACGGGAACTGCGCACAGAAATAGTAGCAGCAGCAGAAGCTACTACAATTGCGAACTCTGCCTCATCCCCAAATACTATACTAGGGTTTTATTTTCTTGGAATTTGAGAGAGATTCGTTCAAAAGAAATTAGCTCAGTCACACACTCACACAACCAAATACTCAGGTAAGTACAAGCATTGTTCATTCTCATCTCTGACTCGTCGAAAAATCATCAACCATTATACATATATATATTTTCAAATTTTTATGAGAATCTTTCTGATTTTTATTTATTTGTTTGTTTATTTTCAATCTGTAACATATATTTATGGTAGTAGAGGCATCGATTTCTGGTAGGAGCGATGTTTGGTTGTGATGATTCCTATTCGTGTTTGTTTCTAGTTGAGATCTCATTTACTCGTTAAAGTTTGGATAGGACATTGTCGATTCCTGTTTGAACTTGATATATAGTTCGAGTGTTACAGTCTTTGAGTCTCGATGATATACAAACACATAAATCTTACTTTCATCTCTTTTGCCGTAGATCCAAGTGTTCCAAAATATGAAGATTGATTTCATATACCTCCCGTTCAGTGACATTGATTTTTTTTTTTGCCGAATGAAATCCGAAAATATATTTTTTTCATGGCGAGAAAGGACCAATTTTATTCAAAAAGTTTGTTTACTCAGAATTTTGGGGCGTTCGTTCTTGATTCCAGAATGTTTATCTTTTTGAGTGAAACTAAATAACCCTGTTTTCACATTAAAACGCCAATGGTGGTTTCTTAGTGAATGGGCCAATCATATATGGTATGCTTTAATGTGGGTTATAATTCTTGATTGTTACTCATTTCTTCCTTTATCCTGTTATCCCAATAATGTGCTTGGAGCACAGTACCAAGACGATTAAAAAGGAGGGAAAAGTAAAAAGTGGAAAGATAGCTGGCGCAATGATGTTTATTTTTCTTTTTTTATACTACGTATCTTTTCTTTTTCCATATTGTGGGTTTGGTTGGTGTGAGTGGAGGTAGTTCCTGTGGAGTTTCTTTGAAGGAATTTTGTTGTTTGTTTGCTTGCTTGATTGGTGTTTGTAATGTGTTTTGATTAGCGATGGGATGTCATTCATCAAAATCATTGGCCATTTACAATTTATTATATATCATATTCCATTTCCTGATTCTTTCTCTGCGATTTGTTTGAACTATTAGCTGGTCTTGCGAGTCAGGTGGGGCTTCGAAACACAGTGCATTTTGTAACAGTTAAGGGGAGGTTGAACATGCAGACACCCAAAACAAGGTAAGTATCTCACTTAATTACTGATCTCGTAGAATTTTGATCTCTCTATACTTCAAATAGCATCTGGTTGAGATTCGCCTAATTGAACTGTACATGCCACATTTCATACGACAATTGGTAAGAATTGTTTGGAAAAATAAATATATATATTTTTTAAATGTATACACACTGATATTCTCTTTCGCCTATGTGGGTGCCTTATTTAATTCAAGCAATGTAGCCCTGTTGAAATAAACACACTCAGTTCACACCTCTTTTGTGGATGCCTTGATCTATCTGCAGTTTTGGACTTTATATGTTAATGGTTTCAAGTGAATAAAAAGAATAGAGTGAATGGTCTACAAGGCATTAATACGATGGCTGAGAAAGCTCACTTCATGGCCTATTGAACTAGTAATATGGCTCAATAATTGGTTGATTCTCTGTCTATTGACTGGATATCACGCTATTAGTATTTTCCTAAAAGTATCTAAAAGGAATATACAAGAATAAGACATCTTCATTTTTCTGTGAGATTATTTTTCGTTTTCATCATCAAAAGCTTGAGCAAATCACATGAATTACCAAGATATTTTTTATGTTTAATAATTGTTCATATTCAATTTTTTGGAAATTTATGGTTGATTTTTATTTTCAATGCTAATTTATGTACTGTAGATCCTACTATTACAGGAAAGAGTAATTTAGATATTGCAAGTAATATTTTGTATACAACATCATGCGCAGCACAGCGCATGTTGGTATTGGTGATATCTTGATGCGTATCTTGTCTTGTTGATGTCTGAAACAAGTTATTTAAAATGTTGTATTTATATGAACAAATACACAAATGTAAATAAGATGGGACCTGTGCAGTGTCAATATATGTTGAGGTATGTCAGTTGAAGCTTTAGTAATGATTTCTAAATTTGTTAAATCTTATGGTCCTTCTGCATTTGTTCAGGTAAAGTTGTAAGTCCTTTTATTAGCATCTGAAGATAACGACGAAAGTGAGAAAGAGCGTATTCTCTCAATACTATCACTTTTTTTGTTTAAATTTTCATGTTGCTTGAAGTTATGTTTGGTGTAGTTTGTGTGTGTATACATATTTATATATAGGTAAGTAATTGATGGAGGATATTGCTGAACCTAGACATGGTGGTCACTGGTATATATTAGAGATAGTCCACCTACTGCATTGTTTTTCGATGCTTGAACAGACCATAAGTACTGGTTCGTTCCACTTTAAAGATGTGTGTGTGTGTGACTTGTGAGTGTTAATTATTATTTATCAATTACTCAATCTATGCCAAGTTGATCTATATGCTAAAACCAGCATGCTGAATTATTTCCTTTTTTATTTATTTTTTCTTTTTATCTAATATATGGTTGCTTTGTTTCTTTTTTATCTGGATTTAAATGATTTTCATACATGTTCTCTTGTGCTGATCAGAACTGGCTCTTTGGAAGTGCCTAAAAGGACATCTCCTACTACACCTCGAACTGCTCGCCAGCTCAAGATGGCAGGATCAGACTCTGACTCGGTGCCCTCTCCACATCTAGCAAGCAGGACACCAAAGGACAGAAGTCCCAAAATCAATGAGCGCAGGTCACCACGAAGTCTGGTGTTGGAGGTAATTTACATTAACTGTAACCACAGGATTCTGTTTAATTGCAGTGATTGACTGCAGATCATTGACAATTTTATAGGTGTTGCACATGTGAGAATTGTCTGCATGACATTTAGAATAACCACTCATCTCCTGGCTGCATTAGTAGATATCTGAAATCAATAAATTGTAATATTGATGATTAATAAATGATACAAAGTCTGTCAACAGTAAGCATGAGAGTTTGGTCTTATATGTTCTGAAGTATCTACTGTCATAAGTAGATCTAGATGGTCATACTAGAGATGAACGGACCACTAATTGAAGATTTAGTCTTATCACCTTCGCAGTCAATTTTTTGTCTCACATGGCAGTGTATGATATTCAATGTTGCCATCATATGTTGTTTCTTGCATATGCAATCATTTTTTTAATATGACGAGAGAGAGAGAGAGAGAGAGAGAGAGAGAGAGCTTTTTAAGTCTTAAAAGTATTCCTATTATTCCTTCCAAGGAAAGTGGTTCTTGACAACTTCTTATGTGTGTGTGTGTGTGTTTTCCTCTTCACATATTTATTTTCTGGGAAGGGTTGGTGTTGTTATGTCTATGCTCATGTAACTTGTTTGTCATTTTCTAGAATTTGAGGTTGATTGCTCTTGTTTTCCAACTTATCTGTTGAATTAAGTAATGTGAGATTAACATCTTGCTTCGTCTTGTGAGCTCCAGAAGAAGCGCCCAGGCAGAGTGTCTGAATTGGAATCTCAGCTTTCTCAACTCCAAGAGGAACTGAAGAAGGTAAAAGACCACCTGAGCTCATCTGAATCATTGAAGAAACAGGTTCAGCAGGAGGCTGAAGAGGCCAAGAAGAAACTCTTAGATATGTCAGCGAAGCTCGAGGAGTCTCAGGAGCAGCTGCTGGAGCTTTCTGATTCTGAGGAAGCTCGGGTCCAAGAGCTCCGTAAAATCTCCCAGGATCGAGATCGAGCATGGCAGTCTGAACTTGAGGCTGTCCAGAAGCATTACTCCATGGACTCCGCTGCCTTAGCTTCTGCTATGAATGAGGTCCAGAAGCTCAAGATTCAGTTGGAAAGGGTGGCTGAATCCGAGGCTGCCCAGGCTAGGCGTGCTGAATCAGCAAATGATGAGATCCAGAGCTTGAGACTTGAACTTACAGAAACTCTCTCATTAGTTGATAATTTGAAAATCCAGCTCAGTGATTCCAAAGAATCTGAAACTCGGGCCCTAGAAATTGTCAGTGAAACTCAAATGCAATTAGAAATGGCGAAGACAACTGAGGAGACAATGCAATCAGAAGGCCTCAAGGCCATGGAGGCTTACAGATCCTTGGCTCTGGAGTTGGAGCAATCAAAAGCTCAAGTAAATCTATTGGAGGGATTTGTTAGCAAATTCCAGGCTGATCTAGCTAATAATAGAAAAAAGACTTCAGACGATCCTTCAGATATTATTGAAACTGCAACGGAAAATGTAGAAAATGGGGAATCTGACCAGCTCAACACACAGCTTAATCATATGAAAATTGAGGTAGGTCAGTTAAGATCCGCATTGGATGCAGCTGAGAGGAAGTACCAAGAAGAATATATTCAAAGCACCTTGCAGGTTAGAACAGCTTATGAACTGTTGGAGTGCACAAAATCAGAATCACACCTGAGAGAGGCTGAATTGGAGGAAAAGTTGAAGAAAGCAAAAACCGATATTGAAGAGTTAAAGGCAAACCTCGTGGCTAAGGAAACAAAACTACAGAGTATTTTAGAGGAGGACCTGAATCTAAACATAAAGAAAAGTATGTCTAGCAAAATAGAATCTGAATTGGAGATAGAACTGAAGAAATCTGAGGTAGATTTGGCAGATATGAAGGCATGTTTGTTGGATAAAGAGACAGAACTCCAATGTATAATTGAGGAAAATGAGACGCTGAAGTTGGAAATAAAGAAGAGAGAAATGGAGAGGAATAAAGTGAATGATGAGGCCCTTGCTGTAGCGGAAGCAGCAAGAGCTGCAGAACGAGAAGCTCTGATGAAGCTCGGGTATTTGACAGAGGAGGCGGATAGAAGTAGCAGAAAAGTTGCACGGGTTACTGAGCAGCTGGATGCAGCACAGGCTGCAAATTCAGAAATAGAGGCTGAGTTGAGGAGATTAAAGGTGCAGTCGGACCAGTGGAGGAAGGCAGCCGAGACAGCTACTGCTATGCTTTCTACAGGAAATAATGGGAAATTCGTGGAGAGAACAGGGTCTCTCGACAACAATTACCATACTATCAGCGGAAAGTTGGGTTCGCCTTTTTCAGAAGACATGGAAGATGACTCACCAAAGAAGAAAAATGGTAACATGTTGAAGAAGATTGGGGTGTTACTCAAGAAGGGTCAGAAATAGATGAACCATTTATCGGGTATGATAATGTTCTTCACTGACTGTTTCATTATTTTTTAATTATGTTATCTTCATGTAATGTTCAAACAGTTTTCTTAACAGGTATTTTGATGGGATAGACTTCAGTAATGTAAGTGATTTGTTGAAAATACTCTTTAAGACTTCTGTATAGTTGATAGTTTGTGGGAACTGATGAACTCTTAGGTGTTCTGTTCTTTTTTGTTTTATTTTTGATAGGTGTCCTATTTTATTTCACCTGCTGTATGTGGTGGGTTTGGCAGAGACCTTAAATATTGTAATTTCCTTTCTGTTCGTCATTTGGGAGAATATGTATGCAGTTTAAACATTGTATGGGAGAAAGAAACTGTTATATTTTAAAATCTTAGGAAAAGCTTATGATAGTATAATATGATTTTTTTTTTTTAAAATAAATTTGTGCACTCTTGGAGACTTGAACTCTCTGCAAGGAAATACCACCAAACTATAATCCTTGGTGATGGTATAATATAATTGATTTATAGAAAGAGGAGTACTAGATATATTAACATGAGAAAAAGATGGGATTACAATAACTACTAGAGAACTAAGTGGAAATTTAATTATGGTAAGCTAATTTAAATAAAATCATTTTCATTTCTAGGATTTGTTGTCCTAGAAATAAATATCCAACTATGGTTGGTATGTTCCGATTTTGTCATATCCATGATGTGATCTAGTTTAATGTGATTTGCAGAAAATGAATTTTCTTAAAAATATGTGGAATATGACGACCTCTACATATTGGGATTTTGTGTTATTATCTATGAGGTCTGGGAATACATTGTAAATTTTGTTGTGGTTGGAGTGTTCTATGTGAGTTGATGACTTCGAAGCGCAAAATTCATTTCAGTTAGAGGAATTTTAAAGCCATTAAGGTGGTTAATTAAATCCCCTAATGTCTTTTTTTATATATTTTAAGAGGGTGGTGTATAGCTCACTAGCCAATTAGTTACACTGAACATTTGGTTGAAAATACATTTTTCTTGTTTGAGTGTATTAAGTATCTAAATAGCCTCATTGTAAGTTTCGGCCTTCGACCACAATTTTGTATCAAAGATTTGGGTGAAGTGCAAAAAACACCTCTCAAGTATACATATAGTGAATATCACACCCTTCCAGTGCACAAAACACCCCTCAAATTTTAATTTGGTGCAATCAAGTCCCTCTTGCCAATTTAAAATCAAACTTGACTAAAATACCCTTAGTCAATAATTTTATAAAAAATATAAAAGTACAAAATGTTGTAAAAAGACCAAAAACCACACAACACTCCCGACCTTAGTTCTCAAACACTCTCTCTCATCCCTCTAAAAATTCATCACAAAACCAAGAGTAACATTGCTGGCACCGGCAAGAAGGGAGAAGATGGGCTCCACCGTCGTTACACAGCCATCAGTCCAACCAAGCTTCATCACAGCCGAAGCCACCGTCGAAAGGCCGTCCATCTCCGCCGGTCCACCGATCCGAAGCTTACTGCCGCACTCCGTCCCAAGTCGCCGTTTCAACCATCTAGTCCGCTTCTGTCGCTGCCGAAGAGGTTGTGATTTTTGCCGGCGTTGTGAATCTGGCCGTGAAGAAGAAGCTCGGTGGATGGAGAAGAACCCACCGGCGACTATGGATCCCGGGATAGGCGGGCAGCCAACGAGATTTCACGGCGGTAATGAGCAAGGGGCGTTGGAATCGGCCGCAGATCGACGGATCTAATTCGTCTGAGAGAACCGTTGGGGTAGCTCCTCCGATGCCGCAGATCGTCGTCGTCGTCGTCAATAACCGACCCGCCTACCTCTCTGAGCCTGTCCCTGCCTGGATCCGATTCGTGTGAGGTCTCGAATCAAGTATTCGGATCCCTTCAAGTCACACAGCCTACCCAGTTTGCTCCACCACCACCATCACCACCTGTGATTGTACACCAGTTAGCTCCACCACTGATGGTGGCTCATAGTGGTCAAAACTTCGAATTTGGAGCTCCGACGGCTGAGAAATAGTTCTATAGTCAAGAATTATTGTCTGTGATGCAAGAGATGGTTCGAAAAGAAGTGAGGAACTACATCAGATTGAACAAAATGGGCTTCGTTTGCTTGCAGAAGTAATCATATCTGTAAATTATTAGTATATTTTAGCTTTTAATTTCATGTTTTAGCTTTTAATTGGATGTCTGTTGATTCGGTGATCATGATGAAGAAGAAGAGTGAAAGCAAAATTGGGTGCAGAAGAAGACGGTGGTGGGACTGGCGGCAGAGAGTACAGAGAGAATGAGGGGTATTTTGGAAAGATTAAAAGGGCAAAATGGGTATTACAGCAATAATTTAGGGGTGTTTATTGTACATAGGGGTAATTTTGCACAATTTCAAAAGATTAGGGGTGTTTATTGCACACTTTTTCAAATAGGGGGTAAAAGTGCTACAAAAAGTATACTCGTGCACGAATCAATTTAAAGGGTAAAGTGCAAAAAACCCCCTTCAACTATTGGTCATGTGCAATTAACCCCCCTGAACTACCATTTGCCCCCTTGAACTATTGAATTTGGTGCAATTAACCCCTAATGTGACATTTCCGACCAATCCATGAAAATGGAAATAGTGAAAGACAATTTTACCCCTTATAAAAACTGCGTCGTTTCAGTAAAAATATCAGCAACAAAAACACCATGGCAGCCAATACAAATTCTCTCTCAAACACACGCTCTCTCTCTCTAACCAACACCCTCTCTCATGGTGGCTCTGCAACATCATCAATTTGCGCCCGTCTTTTGTTTGGTCGAGTTTTGCTGGGATCTTGACACTCTACAAATTTGATCCTTGTTGCCGTACAAATTGACGCACACCCTCTGTCGCCTCGGCCAGATCATTCAAGAACAGCTCGTCGGCGGAGCAGGAGGTTATCGATCCGGCTCACCGGACCGAAGGTCATCCCTCCCCCTCTCTCTCTCACTAGTACTCCGACGAAACCATTCCATTAACCCTCGAACATCGCCGTTTGTCGCCGCCGATCCTTGAACACTGGCGTGTGACACCATCTTTGCTCACCGCCGATTTGAGCCCGAGTTTCTGAAGGTGATTGTGGAGGAGAGCTCAGTTGGTGGAGAGCTCGGCTGTTGTTGGCGAGAAAGGGTTCCTGTAAATGGGTTGCGAGATACACTAAAGATCAAATCAATCCAAATTGATGTCGATGAAAAAGAGAGAGAAGAAAGCTGCCGCCTGTGCTTGGTGTTGATTGGTTGGTCTCTATGCTTCGTCGGCGCCATCATTGGGGGGTGTAAAAGATTGACAGAAATCGATCACCGTCTGTGAAAGTGATTATGATTTAGGTCTGCCCAGCCCTTGATATTTTGATTCGGGGTTTTATTTTTTTCTTGCGACCCAATTTGGAGGATCGTAACCGGAGGGACAGTACAGTAGCCGAAGACTTCTCTGTGTGTTGGCGACAGATCGTGAAATTTCTGATCTGTTTCTTCGTGTCGCGACCTCATTCTTTACTATCGCCGGAGTTTCCTTGCTGTCATCGCCCTGTGTTGTGTCCCTAGCTTCATCACTAGTCGTCTTCTTGCTTCATACATCGGCGCAGGTGTTTCAGTGACAAAATATTCATGGTTTTGCGATTGGGTTTGCGAGTTGCCGGCGATGAGTTTGTATTGTCAGAGAGAAGAAATATCTATATATATATATATATATATACACATCCCGCTGCAAATCAATCGAGGAAGATGGGGATGGAGAAATTTAGGGAAGATAAACATAGAAGGGCATTATGGTCCTTAACTTTTCATAAGGCTTGTATGGTCATTTAATTATATTTGGGCTGTCAAGTGACTTGCACGCACTCAAAATTCACCGGCAGATCGCCGGACGGGATAAATTGCTACCAAATCCCTAGTTCAGGGAGGTTAATTGTTAAATTATTAGATCAGGGGGGTTTTATGCTACTTGATCAATACTTCAAGGGAGTTTTTTGCACTTTACCCCAATTTAAATATAATACGTGGTCAGTGGTTATATAAGTTCATTTATGAGATACATGTGTAAGAATTATTTGTCGTGTAAACCGATCACGTTATATATTTTGACATCCTTTAAACTCATTCATTGGCTACCAATTAATAATTTTGAGTGTAAGAAGTCAATTTTACTCTTATATTATAATAATTATATTACATTTTATACAATGGAAAGGAAGGGCAAATTTGTCATTTTATAAAATTTGGTCAATATACCTATCAAAAAGAAAACACTTAGGGATCAACTCTAATTTCCCCTAATGTTAAATGCGCGCCAACTTTTAGAAATTTACTCAAATTTCAGTGAATGTCAATACAATTTACCCTGATTTAAATTTTTTTTTTTTTAACATCAACTCTAATTTCCCCTAATTTAATTGATTGTTAATACTTTGTCATAATGTCAACAATACGAGACTATATGACATATTGACATGGTACCACTATTGTACTGAATACTTTGTAGATCAACATCAGAACTTTTTTTGGGCCCATATGAATATTAAGAGCATTTAAGAAAAGGCTTTGGGTGTGAGCCCTCTACTGTAACAGAACCTCAGCCCAAATTACACACTAACCGAGGGGCCTGAACTAATTCGGCCCACACTCTAAACCACATATATACATGAATACGCGTCGCCCACCATTTCGAAGATTAGGGTTTCTCTGAGTGGTTGCGCAGCTTTTTCTCTGTTGCCTCCAGAGCTCTCAAAATCTAGATCAGTGAAGTACTTCTTCTACCAGTAACCATGGGGTATGAACTCTCGCTTTGATCTCGACTTACTTCTATTATCTACTCTCTATATGAATACGTACCTATACATATATTCATACATTACGTTTATATGTTCATATATATACGTGCGAAAGTCTAGAGTTTATGAGCATGTTAGTCGTGTTATCAAATTTATATCCTGCTTTATGTTTTGGATCTTGGTTATTGAACTAATTCTGTGTTTGATTGATTGACGAGAAAGCTCAAAAAAAAAAAAAAAAAAAAAAAAAAAAAAAAAAAAAAAAAAACATTTGTTGTTGTTTTGGGTTGTAGAAAATGAAATTACGCCTAAGCCAGACCTTTTGAACGGTTGTATGTATTTTTGTGTTATGGTTCCAAATTATGTAAATCCCAGAATTAATATTTTTAGTTACAAAGTTTTCTCACCTTTTTGCAGCAACCAACCAATGGTAAATTACATATCTAGAAATTTTCTGTTGTTATTTGAAACATCGGTAACCCAAAATTTATGATCTGTTTGATTTAAATCTTACAGATATGTTATAACATGCATTAGTTTCTGTAAGGTATTGTATGACCCAGGGAAAATGTACACCTCAACTAAACCAAATGACTCTTAACAGAATAAGTTGAATGCTGTTTTTGTTCTTTTTGGTGCAAAAAATGGGAAACTCATCACATTTTCTCTGCAAGTTATAGATTTAGAAATTTTGGGTTGTTTATTGTTTCTGTAACAATACTAAACGTTGTTAAAAAATATGTTTTTGTTAGTCTAATGGATTAGCTTTGATATTCATCAGTTTTCAAAGGTGTCCCTTTATGGTATTCATTATACAACCAAAGTGCGCACACAAACACTTAAAAAATTTCTTCATGTCTGGTAGGTAAAATTGGAGTGAATTCTGTGTTTTTGGTGACTTTAACTGTGTAAGCGGCTTTTTAGAGAAGCAATATGAGATATAAACAAACACTATATTAGGGTATATCAAGATTGGAAAGAATCATTGTTTAGAAGGTGGATGTTTAAAGTATTTATTCGAATGCAATCATGAATATTGTTAGCAAGCCGCCTAGGTGAGTGTTGGAAAGCCTTGGTGATTGCCCCGAATATCCCAGCAACAGTTTGTTGCTTTATTGTAACTGACTTTCTGATGCCTTCTACAGAAATTAATAATAAGAGAACATGAATTCTTTTTGAAGTAAGAATAAAATGATAAAGAAAAGAAAGCATTAACTTCAATTCAATCCTGAAGTTATGATTTTCATGCAAAACTATCAATATCCAACCAGTATGGGACCATTTTTCAAACATGCTTGCTCTGTTGTCATGTTTTGTCAACCTAATACTCCATGTGATTGCTAAGATCTTTTGGGGGAAGAAATGAATATAAAATATTATTGCTGGTTGAGGTTGAAAAGAACATTGTAAGTTTGCTAGTTTTCTTTAATTGCCCAGCAATTTATTTGCAAACAAATGGACCATAAGCGGTTCTCCGGATTTGTAATATTAGCCTCTTTTCAGTTGAGTGGGGTTATAACCATAATTTTCTGACAGGAAGACACGTGGAATGGGAGCTGGTCGCAAGCTGAAGTCTCACCGTAGGAGGCAAAGGTGGGCTGATAAGGCATATAAGAAGTCTCACCTTGGCAATGAATGGAAAAAGCCATTTGCCGGGTCTTCCCATGCAAAGGGCATTGTCCTTGAAAAGATGTAAGACTGCCAAGATATTTCCATTTACTTGCCTTTATTAACCACTGCATTTTATATGAAATCTAACAAATGCCTGACTGATGTTTACAGAGGTATTGAGGCTAAGCAGCCCAACTCTGCTATCCGAAAATGTGCTAGGGTTCAACTGATTAAAAATGGAAAGAAGATTGCTGCATTTGTCCCCAATGATGGTTGCTTAAACTACATAGAAGAGAACGTGAGTGCTCGTGTATAATTGTAGCATGCTCAATTTTCTATTGTTGTTGATGAATTGATTCTTCCATTTGTTTTCTTCACCTTGAAAAGAATTTTTCAAATGTGTATTGCCGTAGGATGAGGTGTTGATTGCTGGATTTGGACGTAAAGGGCATGCCGTCGGAGATATTCCTGGTGTCAGATTCAAGGTTGTGAAGGTCTCTGGTGTCTCACTCTTGGCTCTCTTCAAAGAGAAAAAGGAGAAACCAAGATCTTAGTTTTGTACGAAGGTCTCGTCCTTACCTTCAGTCTTTTTTATAGTTAAGTTATGGGAAAATGTTTCTCTCTACTGTTTGAGTTGGTTTTGTGAACGATTAATTATCAAATTTCTAGTTTTTGTATTGGCATTCAGACTACCATTTTCAATTTTATTGACAATCTCCTCTTGCAATGTCTTCCAAATCTTGCTCTCTTTCGGATGGGTGTTTATCATGTTAACTTGTTTAGCATATTCTTGTTTGCTTTCAAAGGCACTGGAGGTTATTGTGACGGACTTATGCAATACAGTTGCACAAAGACTGGCGAGGACTTGTTTGGTGTCCAAGCTCATTTTGCCACTCTTTCTTTTTATTGGCTAGCATCACTTTGGTGAATCAACCGTTCTGGTGTCACGAAAGACAAGAAGGGTGGTTTTCTTATTATCTTTTTATTAAAATTACTTTAAACATCTCATTTGGATGTTTCTTTTTTGTGGGATAAATGGACTTGGATTTTTGTTCATGGTAGTTGAAATTTGAAACAACTATAATTTTGGGTTAAATACAAATGTATTTTCTAAATGAAACTGCCACTTGTCGGTCTTTGTCATGGATCATTGCAAACGCATTAGGGTCGTGTGTATTCATTTCTTTATACCGGCAGACCACTTCTTGTTAGCAAGCATGTACTCTTAGTTAGCATGTACCTGACACAATTTTGCACGTTTATCCATCTAATTGGTTGTGTTTGATGGTATATACATACCCTTTCCATTTACAAAATAAAGGTTTCTTCTCTTCTATAGATAGAAGCCCACACTCCATGGGATGGATGTTCATCCTCTCTCCACTTTCCCTTCTAGGCCTCGTCTATTTTATTTTCTACGTCTCTAGGCCAAGGGAAAATTGCAGAAATTCACACCAAGTATTATATAACCCCCTCAAATGGTTTTTCCAACAAACCCAAACCCACCCCAAAAAAAAATTTTAATTAATAAATTGAGCTCTTCAGATGCCTTTTGATTAGGTGTCACTATAAAAATCAAATATCAAAGTTATTACCATCTCAGTATCTTATTTGCAACTTTTTGATAGTTCGGGAATTTTCTGCAATTTGCTCGTTTTAATTATAATTGTCACACAACTCACAATAATGTTGCATTTGGGAATTTGAAGAAAATTATTTCAAATTTTAAACTAAATCTTGTCCAATTCCAAAGATTCAATTCATGAAGACCCAATTTAATGTTCCCAAACATAACATAAACTTTTTTCTTGATTGCTTTACATTTTTCTCGTGGTTACTTGTTGATAAAGCACATAAATAGATAAGAGTTGCTTCCTTCTATGTTCACCATTCAACTCAGATTTAATTTGTCCAAGGATCCTTCTCAACCATCAGCCTGTTTAAGCATTTTTTGACGTTATATACAGCTCAGGGAAGACAATTCAGGGCAACCTCTACGTTTCAAATACTCAACCAACTAGGCAGGAAACGTTTCTGGTGCGCGAGAGAGAGGGAGAGAGAAAGGCAAAGCAAATAATGATCTCAGAACAACATTCATTTTCACGGAGTTGACCAAATTAGCAATTCCACCATGAGAAGATTTTCCTCGATAACAAACAGAGCAGCAGTGAATTGTTATGCACAAGTAATATGCAAAACAGAAGAAACTTATCATATTGATATGTACTCAGATACCATTATATCCCTGTGCAATGTCAAGACATTGAATAGAAGTATCAAATAAAATTAACATGAAACACATTTAGACCAGACATTCACAGCTCAAATTACATCTTCCTTTGGATATGCATATTTTTTTTCCCTTCTAGTGCTGCTTCAGATGTGAGTTTAATTAACTTGCACAGTAAACACGGGTAAATCCAATGAAAAGCCTCTAGTTCAGATCCAGCGCCCCAATCTATATCATATACTTTGCTTCTATCGGTCAAAAAAGCTTTACCCTGAAACAGTTTCATCATTGGATTTGGAATAATACTCCCTGCACACCATCAATACAGACACCAAATTTAGTATATAATAAGAATTGTTATTGAAATGCCAAAGAACATTTCTTATTCTAGTTAATATGTATGTATATCAGCCGCCAATAAATATGTAAAGTACCTTCAAGAAAGAGAGAGAAAAATGACAGCATAAACTTTTTATTATATACTGTTCTCTTTCTGAGCACTCTCCGAAGGCAACAGAGCTGTCTTCTCTACCACCTCAATGCTCGATCCGGTTAAAAAATCAAGCCCTTCACCATTGCATGATGAGTTCTTGACAGAAAAGGGGGTCCTTGTGCTTTCTGTAACTTCTATTGTGGTTGAGGAGATAGAAAGCGGGGTGGGGTTTGACAAACAAGTCAGTTCCCTGAAACATGGTAAGTCTAGAGCACCAGGAGAACTGACACCAACCCAAGAAATAGAATTACCAATGTGCTCTTGCTGAATCTCCGATTTTTGATCTACAGCTTCCATATGTTTGCTCAAACCATCAACTTGATCTTCAAAATGAACTTTCTCCTCATCATTCTTAACAAACGTATGCAAATTATTCTTGAGATAATATTGGCCATAATATGCATCATCCCCAACTTTCTCAGATGAGTTAATATTTTCAATCTTGCAAGTGGCATTTGAATCACATGTATCCCCTTTGATACGAGATTTAGGGGTTACCTTGATATCCTTTAAGTCAGCATTTTCTTGCATTTCTAAGCTCCAATTCTTCTTCAAGGCACCTGCACTTTCATTGTTCCCTTCAATCACACCAAGATCTGGAACATGTTTAGCTGCATCACTTCCTTCAGCTCCTACTTCCTCGGCATTCAAGCAACTTTGTCCACACTTTTTATTCGGGGCTTCCATAGAGATCCTAGAACAACTTTTTACACCCCTTGAGGCACCAGAGACCTTGGTTGAAACAGTTGTTGGATCTTGGAATGGTAAAGGAGAAGCAGATTTCCGAATATCAAAGTTCATATTTCCAATCGCTGGTACTGTTGTTGCAGGCTGAAGCTTTTCAATTTTTGGCTTGTTTGATCCCCTACCAGGGCTACATATCCCAGATCCAACTTTAGGCAAACCAGTTGGTAAACCAGAATGAGTTCGCACACCTCCATTGGGAGTACGAACCAGTGATTTCACCTGCATAACAATAAAATTACACAGGTGCTAATGCTTGCTTGATAAATCAAATAATGAATCTACACAAAGTAAATCGCAGATGTGATTTGCCAAGGCAATCTTTACCAGGGACATATTAGAAGGCATTCTTCATATCATCATTTGGTTGCCGTAAAGTTGCCTTGGCAAATCACTCTACCATAAGAAAATTAAGGAGGAACAAAAAATAAAATGAAGAAAAGAAAAGCAACTTATTACAGGACAAGGAAAAACTAACCCCATCAAAAAACCCAATCTTTGGCGAAGGCATTCGAAGACCGGAGGGTTTTGTAAAGGCTGGGCGAGAATGTGTACCAATTTGTGTTGAAGTTCTCTTTGTATTTTGATTATGTAATCCCGTTGCCTGATTTTCATGTCCATCTAAAATTTGACCATTGGAATGTTTCTGAAGAACCATAGCAGGAGTAGCATCACTGTCCACAGATCTGCAAGAAGAATTACTCTCAAGGCTAACTCTCAACTTACCGGACCTTTGATTGACAGTAGAAGTTGATGACAATGATTCCAAGGAGCAATCACTAATAGAACTAGCAGGTGATGCACTAGAAGAGAGCTTGGACGACATCAAATGAGTCGACATATGGGACTTCCCAGATGGTGCCTTATTCTTCGATGCAATCTTTGCGGGAGTTTTGAGGATTGAACCAGTGGAAGAAGTATTTGCATTTCTGGAATCAATCTTTCTTCTTGCAGAATTCGAAGGAGATTTTCCAAAGTTGTTAGATAAGGTGCTGACAGAACTGTCACATGAGGAAGAAGATAGTGTTGATTCCGTCTTGGTTGCAGTTGAAGAACCCAAAGAAGATGTTTTGGAAGATGGAGAAGGTTTAGGCACAGCCCTGTAACCACCCAAACCAGGTGCCTTTGATGCCAGACCTTTACTGGCTACTGTCACATTCAATTCAAAATGAACTATAATTCAGTACCATAGTGAAACATTTATTCTGCTGCTAAACAAATCAGTTTGTGAAAGGGGTTCCATTTACCAGTGGTACTTTTATCTCTTTCCATTTGGACACGTTTGGCACCCAAAGATGCCCTTTTGGTTGGTGCTATTGAGATGGGATCAGCCCTGCCAATTACCTTGGGTAGCTTAGGAAGTGATGAAGTTGAGTCTCCATTTTTGGCAACAGGCTTAATCTAAAAATACATACAATTGTGTCAGTTAGATCCTATCGAGTTGAAGTTCAAACTAATAATAATAATAATAAAAAGAATATTGTAGTTGAAATTTGTTAAAACGATCTTAAACCACTTCTGTACCTATCCCTGTGCATATAATTAGGAATTATAAATTCAACCTATCTCTTTAATGAAAGAATTTTGAAGTGACATTATAATTAGTTAAATAATCCATACATGAATGTTCTGTACAAGCTGTTTCACTAAGAACTGGATACACTCATTCTATAGAATGTCCAATAGAAAATAGGAAACACTCATTCTGTTGAATGTCCAAATAATTCACAGTTGATCACTGCATAGTCTAGTGCCAAAGAGAGAACATTTTCAGTGCTTAACAAATGCATACCTGCTTGACTGGCTGGCAACCAGAACCTTGTTTTATTATTCGCCCGGATCCTTGCATAACAACAGGTTGCGTCTTCGAAGCAGATTTTGCCTTCTTCTGTACATTTGTAAGTAAATAATCTCGTATGTTAGCAATCAATAACAAAAAAAATGAAAATTAACAGGTGCATCCATTAAATGGACATACCTTACTTTGAGAATTAAAGTCCACTTTCTTTGAAGCTGCAAAAGATGTACCATTTACTTGACGATCAGTTTGCCAAAAAAAATTGCAAATACTAACTACTTATAATTTTCCAGCCAATTAAGAAGTCAAACGACAAACAAAACCACTCAGAAGAGCAGATCCTGCTTCAGGATGCTCGTCTTATCAGCTCAAACACATTAATATGTCAGGGGAATGACAAAATAACTTAAAGCTACCTGATCTAATGTTACCGCAATATTGACCTGTCCAGATCATTGTATGCAGTCTTATTACCTAAAAACATACTTATTCAGGCCCAGCCCAAAATGGAAAACAAAAACCAATGCTTTTCCATGCATTTTCTTTTTTCACCCATTCACTCGGTGTTACAACTAAAACTCTGTTGTTTATGGCATACTATATTTTGTAGAAATGTGGTGCCATTAGTGAATGAAGTGGTCGGGGGTGATGGTATCAAAGTCAGATGGTACCATGGCAGTGATGTTAAAAGTGCATCAAGTCAGGTGGAATGAGGCTGCAAGTTGAGGTATTGATGCTAGAGCCCTGGGAGAGAGGAAGCAGTGTTGCAGAAAAGATGATGATTCCAGTGGTGGATGGAGCTGGTGATAGAGGTGCCGGGAAAGGTGATGAGGTGGTAGTGAGATTGGTGTTGAAGTGCAGATGGTAATTGATTCTGAAGTGGTGAGCCTGGTGGCGGAGGCAAATGTATTGGAATAATACTGGTGCTACTGGAGATGACGCTTTTGTGGTATAAGAGGAGTTGGTGGTGATGTGGTGACGTAGAAAAAGTTACCTGTGGAAAGAATATCCCTGCCCCCAACCGATTTCTACTTTATCAGTTCCTTTTAATCCACAAACACCGTAGTCAGGTGCCTGAGTAGTGAGTACTAAACAAAGAACCATTACTTTGTCTTTTAACCAGGTGTTCAAGTAGAATTTTACTTACAACAGAGAGATTGAGTTTCCAACCCTCCTGATACAGATTTGATTCTTGAATTTGCCACATTGAATGCTTTGCTGGATTTCTGGATTGAAGCTCTAATGTCTTCGAACAAATCAACGTCAAGATTTTCCAATGTCAAACTCTCGCTCTCTAAGGTAGAGATGGAGTCAGTAGATCCGCGTATGTCCTCTTTGATTCCAGGTAATAATTTTTTTCCACTCTTCTCAACTCCTTCAATAATGTTGGACAACTCATCAGGGTCTAGAACACCTGGAAATGTCAAAGAGACATTTATAATTATGAGCTTAAAGTTACAGAGGCTAAGAAAAATGAAGCAGTGTTCTACTGAAGTAAAATAGATATAAGGTTCAATTTGCAGAGCATACCCGCACTGGTGAAGAAGGCACTATCCCATGCTAAACTTTTACGCAAATTGCACTTGCCAAATTTTTTTCTCTCTGATTCCAATGATTCAGATAGTTGTGGTAGCTGTCCCATCTGCCCAAGACTGCCCAATGTGTCCTCTGCTTCGACAGCCTCCAAAAACTCAAAACTTCTATGCTCATTGTGTTTTTCTAAAGACCACATCAAATCAAGTTCAGTTTAGTATAAGTTATAATAAGAACAATAAAATGAGATGAAAGAATATTGTGATCACTATAGTATATACATAAACGATATTCACTAAAAAAGTGAGAAAGAAATATTTGAGTAGTGTGAATAAAAGAAAGCTCCTTGATCTTTCCAGTGACCGGCAGCACATTATGGAGGGCTTCTGAAGGTCAAATGACCACCAGGTCTGCTAAAGAAATAAAGTGCATGAATCAAATATTGGAAGGATGCATGACAACATCCGCTCCCTTTCAAGTTCAACTAAGCACTACAAATCCAGATAAACATAAAAAATATAAGATACCACCTTCTATTCCCAGAGCCACAATTCCACTAAGTTATGTGACACCACATGTATGTAAATCACCACCAAAAAAAACGTACATATTCTATGTATGCCTCAGCCCATGTTCAAATTGCTTTTAATTCTAATAATTATTAGATTTCTTGCTTTAATCATTAGTCAATAATTAAAAACATTTCAAGATCCAAGCAGGCAAGAGTGGAGATCACTGGAGTTTGGTGTGCATTACATTAAATAATTAATGTATGAACTAACTGGTCAACGAGCCTCTTTAGGAATATGAGTTATGTGTTGGCATAATCCAACTCAAAACTTGGGTAGAAGGGTGTGTCAAAGTTTTAAGAGTCATTCATTTTCAACCATGAAAGATGATGGAGATGGAGCTTAGCAAAGAACATGAGATTAGAGTTGAGTTTGGTATGATTTACATCAAATAATTAATGTATGAACTAACATGTCAATGAGCCTGTTAGAAATATGAGTGTTGGCATAATCCTACTCAAAACTTGGGTTGTAGTGTGTGTCAGAGTGATATGAGTCATTCCTCTACAACCAGGAAAGATGCTGGAGATGGAGCTTAGCAAAGAACATGCCGAAAATTTCTCAAGACTCGATAACATGTCTAGGCTAAGGTAAGTGAAGACCATGGAGACCAACTATGAACATGAAGTTATATGACACTACATGTTTGTACATCACCCAAAGAAAACAACCTACATCTGCCTAACCAAATTGACCAACCCATGGGGAAGAATGACATCCAACTATATCACAGTGTACCAAAAAGTGTAGTAGTCAACCAGTATTGTGATAGTCAACCAATTCTCCTAACCTTTGTTCGAGCAACTAAAGCTTGCTCAAAGAAAGTTCACCATTTGTTCAAGAATCAAAGATAAATCACAGTTGACGTTAACTTGTACCAAACTAAATTGCCATACTCAGTGACTCCTAGCTGTGCGCTAAGAGAGAATCTAAAGCACTGTTTTTGCACCCCGTCAGACACAAATTTCATAGTTATCCCAAATCACTTCCGCGTGTTTTGCATTTAATACATATAAAATTGTTTACATCAATTTTCTCAAACCATTGACATCATTGATTTTTCACACAAAAAAAGGGTAAATATGAAACTCGTCTATAATCAAATACCACAATATGAAGTAAAACCATAAAAAACAAAGGGAACAAATGCATTTACAGATCATAACCCACAGACAAACATAGATACACACGCATATGTATTCACAGAAAGATCAAACACGCCAGCATAATGTATCTGAAACAGATAAAGAAAATAAATGAAAAAAAAACCATAATCTACAAAAGATGGGTAAAATCGACCTGTATATAAAGAAAATTGAACTTCTGTTCGGCAAAAAAAAAAAAAAAAAAAAAAAGGAGAAAATTTTAACCTAAAGATTGGTTGTCGATGAAGCCCCCAGAAGAAGACGAAGCAAAGATGAGAGAATCTTTCTCAGACAGGGCATCGACAAGATTGAGCCCTTGCATTTCAAGATTAGCCTTCTCACTCTCATCCATTGAATAGATCGAATCCAAGTCAATCTAAGAAATATAGAGAGAAAGTTGAATGCAGCCGAAGTCGAACGAAAGATGATGGGATAGAGAGAGAAAATGTAACTTTAATCTGTAGAAAGAGAGAGACTGTGTGGAAGCGGAAGGCGAATTATTTTGAATTATGAAAGAATAGGCGGTTTCAAAATTTTAGTAACAGCTGTACGACGGGAGCGTCTTGCGTCCTCTCATCGGACCGAAATATGGGTCCTTTCAATCATTGGATAATAACTAGTAAATTTTTTTTTTTTTTCAAAATTTTCTTAGGTTATTTGATTAAAAGTAAAATAGTGTTATTCTATTCGTGCTCAACTAGGGTGCAACTTGTTGCCAAAAATAAAAAACTAGGGGTGTAACTCTGGTCAGTTGAAAGTAAAATTCGGGTTCAATTCAGACCTGTGAAATGTTTAGCCCTAATTTGATATTTAGCTCAAGTCCAATTTATTTTAATTTTTTTAATTTGAGTTAAATTTCGACTTACAACTTGAACTAAGATTTGGGTTTGTATACAGGTTACTACACTGATTTTGTGCAATAGTTTAATTACTTTTGTAGACCAAACCAACCCTGTCATAATTTTCAATATAAATAACTTAGTAGTATATTTAATATATAAATTATAATTATAACTTGGGTTCAGGTTTGGATTAATGGCACCTCAATCCAAACCCAATCATAATTCAGTTGTTGGTAATATTTTCCCAACCCCGGACAAAATTAAAATTATAATTGCCCAAACTCATGAAAAATCGAGTTGGGTTCGGGCTGCCCTACCCCAATCGCACACCTATGCTTCTGGGAGATGATAGAGTCTAGTATGAACTTTTGTTATTGAGATTTGAAAAAAAAAAATTATTATTTATTTTCATTGACAAGAAACACACACTTTTGTCCTTATGCGGACTTGAACATGCTCACACACATACACACTTCTGTCCTCTATGAAAACTTGAACCCTTAACCTTCTATTTTGGAAGACAAGATAATACCATCAGGTTACAAGGCCTTAGTGGCATTTGAGAATGAACAATTATGTTGTCAACTATTTTTTAAAGAAAAATATATAAAAGGAGAACTAATAAAAGGTGAAGTCTTAAAAAGAAATTAAAAAAAAAATTACAAGAATTATAATGAAATGCAATCTCCTCAATTTCTCAAAGTGGGGAGAGCTTAAATCTCACAATGACGAGAATGGAGCTTTGTACTATGGTTGTGCGAGTTTTAGTTCGACGAGGAAGGGAGCTTTCCAGTGGTGCTAAGGTTTCCATTGAGCGTTTGTGTGATAAGGTTTATGCCCTCTTTATATATGCTAATAAGGCACGTATAAAGATGTCAACCCAGACTTCTTGACACTTTCTAAAGCTTTGGTTGTGCTCAAGACTTCGGTCTTGAGTTAGCTTGGTGTTAGGTTGCTGTCGAGAGGGGGGGGGGGTTTGCTTATCATTGAGCGGGGGCAGGGGTTTGTTTGGATATGTTGCTTATCATTGAGCGTTTGTGTGATAAGGTTTATGCCCTCTTTATATATGCTAATAAGGCACGTATAAAGATGTCAACCCAGACTTCTTGACACTTTCTAAAGCTTTGGTTGTGCTCAAGACTTCGGTCTTGAGTTAGCTTGGTGTTATGTTGTTGTCGCGCCGGGGCGGGGGGGGGGGGGGGGTTAGTTATTTATGCTTCTTCTTTGTAAGTGTCGTTAGGCTGTTGCTTGTTTGCCAAGATTAACAAAAATTCACAATGACAAATGCGTATGAGTAGTCAAATAAAAAATTATATATTGCCGAGAAAAATATATAAATATATATAGGTAAGGGTTGAAGTCCTGGTAGAGATAAATAGGTGTATGATTTTCTTACCAAAGAAAAAATATAAAGTCCGAAAAACACGAAAGTTATAAAAAAATAATAATATTATCCCAATTATCCCTGTTTTATGTAAAATGGAACAATAATGTTAAAGGAATTTAACAATCAACATGGGTCTTTTTTTAAAAAATGTAAAAGTAATGTGAAAATCCAAATAAAAATAAATTTCCATGTATAAAAAGACAATGCATAAAATTATTTTAATTTAGCCTCAGTCTGTTTCGGCGTAAAATATATTTTTTGTAAATTTTTTTTTTCAGATAAAATATTCTTTTATTTTTACTTTGTCGGTATTTGGCAAAGGTTTACGTCGAAATTAAGGTCGAGTCCATCGGACGGGACATGTAAAATAACTTGTAAAAAATTGATGGATAAGTTATTTTGTTAAATTTTAGTAATTTTTTTTATTCGTTAATATTTTACGACAACCAAACATCACAAAAAATATATATATATTTTTTGAAAAATATTTTACGTCCAAAAAAACAAATTGTAACGTCAAATATGATACTTTTTTTTTTTTTTTACCTAGTTGGTACTCACACACACATATCTCTTATTTTGAAACTTGAACCTCTAACCTTCCTTTATAAAATAAGAGGCTAATACCGTTAGGTCACCGACCCGTTGATAATATGTCGCATTTAACATCACTCCCTCTAAAATTCAACACATTTCTGTATCACTTGCATGAAACTTTTCTATAGAAGTTAGTGATTGTGAAAATTATTTTTCCTCATCTAAACTGTTAAAACAAATTTCTCTTTGTTGCGCTTTTCATTAATCAAACCAAGCCTAATATATATTTCAACAATGGCAATAATTGGAATTTTCAACCTTGCATTTATTTGGCAAGGCAAGTCCCAAGACCCACTTCTTCTTTTTTTCATATCCGTGAGCCACTTGGGGTTGCACCTTTTCAATAGATGAGTTACAGTGATACTATTTCAAAGTAATGTCTCACATAGTTCTGTGACTTCTGTCTTGTTTGTAATTGCCAGGAAAATATATATATACATGTGTGTGTGTGCGCGCGCGCGTGTATATTTAGAGATAGACTTGGCATTTATTAGTACCATTATTGTATGAAGTGCTCAAATAATCGGATCCATATTTGCAATCTTGTCAATTCAAGACCACCTAAAAAATTTTGTTGTAAAATACTACTACAATACAATGATTTGCATTTTCTACTGGAGATAAAAGAGAGAGGATACTTGGTGAATGAGAAAATTTGGCTTACATAACATAATAAATAATATATAATTTCATTTTATTTTTATAAAAAACACAACTAGTAAACCGCATTCGGATAGCACCAAAGCATGAATCAACCAAAACTTTGAAGTGTTATTGGGGTATGTCATCATTTAACTTAAACCACATGAATGAATGTAGTGACATACCAAAAAAAAAATATACTTGCAAGGATATAAATGCATATAGAAATAATTATCCCGGATTAGAAATTATTTCAATATATTATATTATCCTTGACCATGATAACTGTGACATTATACGTATACTTTTACCATATATACTTCTTTTCATCTAGTAATAGTCAAACTCCTTAGATAGCAAGCCCAACGAGAGGTGAACAGAGGTTCCTAAAAAGCAATTCCTAATCAAATGGTTGAGGCCATTATATAGTTTATGTACAAAAATGTCATTTCAAAAAATTATTACTTCTACCCAGCCCATCACTAATCGACACACAAACAAAAAAACTAAATAAAGCTGACACATTTATCTGCATGTCACCCGGATTTTGTAATAATTTCTCCATTAGTTCACACAGCAATAGAAGACTGAAAAAACATAGCATCATCTTTGCTTAACTTAGAATTTCTCCTCTCTTTCTTTTTCATGCATGGGTTGGCGCCAAACACCAATATCAAATAAAGCATACAAAGGCGACTGACCATATAAATTCTAGGTACTGTACAAATAGCAAAACCTGTTTGAAATAAAATTCTCATAACAAGACATAACCAGTTGATATGCAATATTCATCATATCAACACCAAATAAAGAATACAAAGGCCACTGACCATATAAATTCTAATAACAAGACCATGACCATTAGAAAACCAGCCACACTAAAATTAACTCATCAAAAAAAGTTCTGCATCGCAAATAGATTGATTAGGACCAAAATGGATTACATGTGAATACAAGTGTCTATTGGAAGAAGGAAAAAAAACTTCAGAAACTTGTGAATTATTAAGCATATTTTGATAAGAGAAATGCCGGTGCATGGCAACTGTAAATGGAACCCACCTCATTTAGCAGCTGAGAGGCCGGCCACAGCTGCAACCGTCACTGACAGTTCTCTTCTAATAAATAGGCAATGCCACAAAATTTGACGGCTCCATTGATGTAATTCCTCCTGTACTTTATAATCAGAAAAGATCAAAAAAAAAAAAAAAAGCAAACTGAATCGCGTGCATGCCTCGATTTCATGCTGCATAAAATCTAAATTACTGGTCCCAATGTGCAGCAACATCTAAACTTTTTATCTGTGAAAAAGGTAACTAAGCTCTTGACAGGTCCCAGTCAAACAGAGTACAAAATCTGTTAGGCAACATAAGAGTTCACAAATGCACCTAATCAACTGATAATTTCATGTTCTTACTTGCGACATGCAAAAACATGGTTAACAATATTGATTAAATTGACAGTTGACATTCTAGTACTGTCCTAAATAGATATCTAATTCAAATGCTTGATCCTACCTATTTGCAATCAATTGTACCCCTACCAGACTCCACCCAAGGGAAACATGGATTTCTCAAGTAGATGAAAAATGGAAATAGGTGCATAATGATCAACATCAAAACTGATCTGCATATCTGCATCAATCATCAACCTTCATTGCCTGCCACAGATGTTGAATCGTCATTTCTTCTCCCCTTTCTTGCGGAGGTAGGAGTTTTACGCGGTGTAGGTGAATAGTTAAGGCGGTAACTAACAAGTGAAGGCCCAAAAATGCTGAATTTACCGGCACTACTGAAAGCAGTTTCAGCATCAGAACGTCTCTTAAAAACCACTTTAGCACGGCTGCTCTTCTTCAGCACTTCAGTCTCCAATTCATTCAAAGGTCCATAGCGGCTAAATATCTTATTCAGATTTTTTTCTGAAGGAACGGCATCCAAATCCATAAAGTTCAGTACTAGTGCAGTCGGAGAGTTTTGTTGCTCAAATTTCCCATCCATGTGACCCGCTGGTTTCCCCACCCCCGACTCATGATTCATAATGGTAATTCCCTGTTTAGAATCAGATTTCAGACTTGACTGAAGAGGCGCATCTGTTTCAACAGCACAAATACTCTTACCATTTGGAGTCTCAGGTTCGAATAATACTTGCTCTTCATTGCTATTTTGGACAATCCTGTCAGTCCAATAAGAGTCTTCCATACCCTCAAACCCAAATGTTTCAGTAGTCTCTGACTTAGATGACTGTTTCCCAGTCTGCTCACCTGATGCATTCCCTGTCGACTTTTTTTGTTTTTGTGAATTGGAATTCTGTAGGCACAATGAATTCCTAAAATCAGAGAAAAAACCAACTGCTTGAATTAAGAAGCTGCACCTTTTCAAAGGATCTTTCGCAACCAAATAGAGCTGTGAGAGCATCTCATCAGGAGGAGGGTTCTCTGCAGGAATGACCTTTCTTCTCTTGGATTCCTTGGAACTGTGTGGTGGAACACTTAAATGAGGCTTGGGAGGTTTTTCATTGCTTCCTTTTTCCCCACTAGTTCTCTCTGAACCATGCTTGAAGATTGGACTTGACACATCTAGCTCTCTTGCAGCCTTGCGTATGCTTTCTCCAATTCTTCGAAACGGCCTACTAGTACCTGCTGACAAAAGACTCTTCCTGGTGTTCGGTGTCGTGTCATCAGATATGGATTCAACTGCCTTCCGTTTCTTACCAGAAGATGATATTGACTTCCTGCCAGCTTTCCTTTTAGGCTTATTCTCGTCATTTGAAAATTTTGTGTGGCTCCCAGACATCAAGTCCGATATGCTTTTCTCTTTTTTGCTTGGGTACATAACATCTACAGAGATTTGTTTACGCTTACGAGAAGAATTACCTTTAATCGATTTTCCTTTTCCAGAAGGAACTAGCTCGTTGTCCTTGGATCCTGGAACAGAATCCTCAACCACTTCATCTGAATCCTCGCTTTCCCCTGATGAGAGAATGTTAACATCGTTCTCCAACAACCCACCAAGCATTTTAAATTCAGGCAGCTGATAAAAACCTTTATGACGGTTCAAAGCCAAAAGTTGGGCACGTGCAATCACAAATTCAAGTCGATCAGTTCCACTATATGGTGTTGGTGCTAATTCTTTCAAATACTGCACAAGATTAACAGGATTAAAAGAATCCAAACTTGAAAATTCATCGCCACCATCTCTTAGACTTGATTCTTCCCGAATACCAGCATTAACAATAATCTGGGATTTGATTTTAGAATACACCTCCTCTGACAAGCATGAACATGCCAGTCCAAACTCCACCCGTCTGGAAACCTCATCCAAAGCACAACCCACAGCATGACAAAATGTTTCCATGGTGCTCTGCTTCTCCATTTGGGTGAAATGTGACCGAAATGGCTTTATCCGTGATGCTTCATTCCAAGCAAATGTCTGGTCCCCAAAATAAGCTATCAGAAAACCATCCTTCTTGTGGTATTTCCTTGCCTTTTCTGATGAATCTGAAGGATCGAAAATCTGCCCAGGCCACCAAGGATGGCTTCGTACCTTGCCCCACACAAGATCAGACGCATAAAATTCACCTTCTTTTTCAGTTCGACACCCTTTCCTGTAAAACTCTGATTTCAAATCAGCGGGTCTATCATTTTTCTTCTCAATGTCTTGCAGCTGTTCAACATCTGTCACGTGTTCTGTATTTACTACATCTTGGTTTTCATTTAAACCAACCCCATCATTTAAACTTAGTTCATCTGCTGAGCAAGCCGAAAAAGGTATATCAACGTCACCTGAAAACTCATTAAACTTAGTTCTTTCCTTGCTGATCACGTTTCCGGATTTCTGGTTCCCATCCCCATCGATCTGCAAATTTAAATCTAAAAGGCCGATTGTATCAGACTGATCTACAGTATGCTGGAAAACTTTTGCTTCAGAATCACGAATTCCAATAACTTGATTCTCATCTGTATCAATCCGTGTGTTGGTTTGCATTTCTAGAATTGACAATAATTCATCAACAGCAACTGAACCATAAGCTGTCACATTTTCATCTCCTTTATACAACGAATCACCAGTATCAGCTACTTTAGCTTCGTCAGCTCTTGCTGAAATATTCTCCCCACGTCTATCTACAACTGGTTCCACCAAAAATGTACTAAAATTCTCGTTGACTCCGTTTTTCTGGGAACACAATAAATTCTCACAAGCAGCATCATTACTCCTAGCATCATTCTTCAAACCCAAAACAACCCCATTATCATCTTCAGCAATTTTGCCCTTGGCAATAGCTCCTTCACACTCTGGAACACCAGTAACCGGCATCAGCAAAGCATCAGCCCCTTTCCCATCATTCCCTCTATCCGATTCCCAATCGTTCTCTTTATCTACAGATTCATTTCTTCCCTCAAAACCCTCACCAACCAATCCACTAACTATTCCTTCGCGGATCAAACTCCGATCAACCGCATGGAATGCCTCCACCGAGCCCTTCACTTCCCTTGAAACCCTAATACCACCACTCACTCCTTCGACCGAACACCCATCCACCCCAGGACGCTCCGTTAGGGTTTCAGTCACAGAAACGTTGGGAGTGAGTGCTAATTCTGATGCATTAACCCCATAGACCTCGTTGTCCCGTTCAACGGAAACTTCCGAGTTCAGGTCTATTCCGTCCAATTTCAGAGACATTATTGAACCCTAACAAATACCATATATACACACACATAAAAATTTTATCCAGAACCAATTCATCTCTCTCTCTATAAATATATATTGTACGGAGTATCCTAATATGATCGATAGGCGTATTCAATGAAAATAACTATTCGAGAGAGGGAGAAAGAGAGCATACCTGGTCTGAGTGCTTTGATTTGAACAAGTTCTCCGTGACACCCTGTTTGAATGCGTGAAATATTGGAGTTTATTTGAGAGAGAGAGAGAGAGAGAGAGAGAGTGAAAAAACGATGCTCGTTTCGTGCAAGGGGATGTTTCTGGGTTTGTACTCTTAGGGAGAAAAATATAATAAAGAATTATTTTCCCATCACCAATTAATTAGATTTTAACACGTGTAGTGTAAGATTCATTTCATCTACTAGAATTTTTCTTTTTTATAAAATAAAAAAGATAAAAAAATAATAATGTAATAATAAAAACAAAAAAAAAAACAATTTTGTATACACACAATTCAACATGTAACTAATTACTTGAACCTTGTATAATACAAGATACCAAGTCCGCTTAAAGCGATGATGTGTCATGTATATAGTAGTTGAAGATGACAAATTTTTACACAATTTGTTAACACTATTAACTCAATAGGAAATTAGTAAATTTTCGTTTATTTTATTTGTTTTACTCCGATTAATTAGTTATGTGGTGTTCGGATCCTTTTACCGATCTCACTTTAATTAACTTGATTTATATCATTTAATGACAAACTTCATTTAAACGGGCACATTACATTGTGATAATGGTTAAAACATATATAGATTAATTTTTAATCCGTTGCACAACATGTTTTCCCCTATACATTGCCTTAATTTTGGAACTCCACGAAGCTTACTTTGACTAAATGGGTTTTCTATGGCAATGGCAATTGAACAAAGATACAACCGACATTGTCAAAATAAGGAGTTATTTGGAGTTAGGATGGTGTACGGATCCTTTACTGGAACGGAGATAAACTATATATGGGGATATCAAACACAAGTGGAGAGATCTAAGGAGCTTATATGGAGAAGAAGCAAATAAGCCAGAGGGAATTAACATTGAATGTAGGACTGTTTCTTGCATACCACAATGAGTAAATACATTTTAGTTATGGGGGGTTTGTGGTTGCTGAAGTTATAGCCCTTTAATGCTCAACGATACTGGTATTTATAGTTTTAGATTTTTTTAGTAATACGTAGAGGATCCAGACTTAGTTGGGATATTGTTTGGTGCTTAAAGTCCTCGGTTATGATTATTCTATTTGTCCTTGTTATGGCTATGGGTCAAATCTCTCTTACATCTGCTTAATTGTTGGACAACAGTACATTAAATGATTAATGCGACATTAAATCATTTGACTATTTGATAGTGACGATAGTTAAACGTTGATCGTTAAAAATGATTACAAGTGTTTTTATCACGAATCCTCAATTGGTTGTTTCATGACCATGGTAGTAAATGTAAAAATCTATAAAGAAATCGAGTCGATACATGCTCATTTTTTACGAGTAAACTTGTTTACTCACCCCGAAGTTACTAGATCATATTCCCTTTGGTCAAATCGTTGTCTAAGTCTCACATAATAAATTCATGTATATTTGCAAGGGGTCCTACCTGTGCCTTTCGGCACAATAAATAGTTTCTCTTTGAGGTTGTTTACAGAGACCTTGAATGTTTTTTCAGGATGGTGCTTTAGTTGAGGTTTCTTTTTTTGACCTAATCATTTATCTTGGTATCATTAATGCAGGGTCAGTTTGTTCCCTCGAGGTGTTAAGGGACATAACACAATGTTAGGGTTTCAAACTCAAGCTCTAATCCTCTCTAGGTTTGGGATGATCAAATGTGATATTAGGGTTTTTAGACTCTAGAATTGTCTTATCGAGGATTGAGGTGACCTAACGATCGAAGGGATAGGTCCTTCTGGTTTTTGGTTTTATTGAGATGCTAAGAGTATCCCAGCGCATGCTTTATTTGTACAATATCTGACTCTGTAGCGAACCAATGTTTCTCATGTGAGCATTGTACACTTGCAGTCCCCACCACACATTCTACACTTGTTACTCCAAATGTGTAGAACTGAGTAGCGTCTAACAGACCTAAAAAGTTTTGGGTGGATATTGTGTATATAAAATGGAAAAGTGATAGTGTGGTGTAGTGTGGTGTAATACCCCTAATTTTAAAAGGATAGTCTCGGTATTTATTTATTTGTTTTAATTATATTTTTAATTATTTAATTGATTATTTGACTAATTGTTTATGTGTTTAATTGAATTAGGTATTACTTGATTATTTGATTATGTGTCTATGTATTATTTGTATTTGTCTATGTGTTAATTGTTTAATTAGATTACGTACTTAAATGGTATTTTGATTAATTGTAAATTAAATGTTTTCGTTTCTTTTATTATTTTATTTTATTTTTCTTTTATGGTTATGGTTAGTGGTAATTGGCCAACCAATTGGGTCCCATGGACTACTTGGATAGGAGGTTGGATGTGTATGGATTATTACCCGTGAATAGTTGTGTATGTATATATATAGATATATATTATATACATATATAAAAAGGAAAGTAATTTATTAATTACTTTTATGGTAACTTGGGTAGTAATATTTAATCTGATGTATATATTTTATATTTAAATAATAAAAATATACATAGATTTGATACGTGTTATGTTTCAAGTTACTTTATAATATTATGGTAACTTAAGTATTATTGGATAATCTATTAATAAATAATGGAATGTTTATAATTTATTTATTTAATAAACATATACATAAATTATATACGTAATATATTTTACTTACCTTTTTAATATATATAAAAGGGAAAGTAATTTATTAATTACTTTTATGGTAACTTGGGTAGTAATATTTAATCTGATGTATATGTTTTATATTTAAATAATAAAAATATACATAGATTTGATACGTGTTATATTTTAAGTTACTTTATAATATTATGGTAACTTGAGTATTATTAGATAATCCATTAATAAATAATGGGATGTGTATAATTTATTTATTTAATAAAGATATTCATAAATTATATACGTAACATATTTTACTTACCTTTTTAATTTTTTATTTTTTTTAAGTTGACTTGGATTGGGAAAAGAGTTAGGGTTATTTTATTTAGACTATAAATATATACCTACAGGTTGTAAAAAGGTGTTAGAAATATTCACGTGATATATTCTAGAGAGAGAGAGTTAGAGAAGGAAGGAAGGAGGAGAAAAACTCTGTAGAGAGAAGATCAAGGAAGAAGAAGTTTAACTTTCGATCCGAAAGTTTAAGGCAAGTTCTTCTTCTATCTCTTTCCCTTTGATTCGTGTTTCTATGCATGCCTAAGAAATTTCAGGATTTATTAAACACATAAAATTGAATAATTATGCATGTTTAATTGGATTAGAACATAGATTTTATGAAATTGGTTCATATCTGCTCTTGTGTTATGAATTGATAAATGCATGATTTTGATTTGATTTCCGGTGTGAATTTTTATATGTTTACATTATGTATTTTTTCATATCTGTGGAATGATGGAACGTAGAAACATGCCTAAGATTCCTGAACATTAAATAGGAACTAAGTTTGGGTTTAAATAAATTTAAATAGACTCAATCATAATGATGCTTGCTATTTGAATGTTTTAAACAAACGAATGAATTTAATCTTTTAATATGTTTAAGCAATTGAGATTAAATGTGTAGGATGAATTGGATACGGAGAATGCTTATTTGACGGTATAATAAAATATCATCATATATAAGATTCAGTTTGTGTAGGACATATGATATAGGAAGCTTAAATAAATAATAAGTCATTCCTATTTTGTGATAACTTGATATCATATTATCATAGTTATTTCTGGATTATTTGATGTATTTCCTTAATCGTTACATCAATTGTTATATTATGTGGTTTAATGCACCGGTATGGGATGGTGGCATTCTAGGGACGGATTAACTTATCAGTTAAGTCCTACCTATTTTATATAAGGGAATGGATTAACTAAAATGTTAAGTCCTACTTATATTCAAGTCAAGTCAGCTGAACAAGTTGAATAACTTATGGAGGATTAATTTATTATATAAGGGAATAGATTAACTAAAATGTTAAGTCCTACTTATATTCAAGTCAGGTCAGCTGAACAAGTTGAATGACTTTGCGTGTTGCCTACTATTCAGATTAAGACAACCTTATAGTCTAGTGAGGTTCCTTTAGTGTGTGTGTGTGTGTGTATATATATATATATATATATATATATATATATATACGGACTACTAGTTACTGTTGGATTGACTAGGATGTATACGTGTATCGAATTTCTGCTTGGACTGTAATAGAGTAGAACTTGTTTGTGGGCCTGACCCATCATTATTTTTTAGGTGCTCGTCACGAGTAGAGGTTGTTCGTGCTGAGCGGGGATCAGTCTACTTCATTCTTCCGATGCTACATAGGAGTTCATTTATGATTCAGTTTCCTGTTTTAGATTACTGTCATTTGTTTAGTTTGGATTTTCTAGGGGTCCACACAGTATAGATTCCCGAGTTGTATTTTGGAGGATCAGTTGTATCAGAAGAGTTTATTAATTAATGGAAATATATTATGAGGTTTATTATTAGATTATCATTTTAGTTTCTTGTCAGCATTTTATTTATTCTTGTTTATTCTTTTGTACTATGTGTTCGTTTATTATCAATTTGTTTTGATATCCTCGGGTATTCGGGCATGGGCCTAGCCAACCCGCATTCGGAAATTCGGGGGTATCACATGTGGTGTAATTGTGTATATAAAATAATAAAAAGTGATTATATATAATAAATAGAATACAAATAATGGTGCATAATAGCTCTTTAAAATCTTCAAAACAAGTGTAAAGTCACGTCAGCAATTGTGTTAACGTGGCACTACACTTTTACAAAGTGTAGAATGTAAAGCAACCCTCGCATTGGGGATGCTCTAACTTAATATAATGTTTTAGATTCAAGCTCTAAATCTTTTGAGATTTGAAGGAACTTGATATAGTATCATTAGAGCTTTTAGTCTCGATAATTCTTTTCTCGGTATTTTAGTGGACCTGATGCAGGGTTAGGATTTTTAGACTCGTATTGTATTTTTGAGGTTTGAGGTGACTTGACATATTGTTCTCGTTTTGCGTGCCACCTTTCTTATTTCCCATCAGAGAGTGTGGTTTCGCCGGTGCGTCTTTCTCATCCACATCACGCTTCAGCGCTCTAGCGATTCCATGATTTCAAAGGG